CAGCGTCAAAGCCATCTTGAGATTATCACAGTACAAATAGGAGAAATAGGCAAATGCTTTGCCTTGAAATAATTTTGTATAAATACCACAATCTGCGGCAAGTGTTCCGCTCTGAAGCTAGTTCCTTGCTTGGCATGTGAGGTAGCCTTGCAAAATGTTCTAATCAAGAAAATGCAGGTGTTTTGACTTTATGTGATCATAATTCCCTACTCTTTAATAGCAGTCTTGTCTGATATAAAGCTAGCATCCAAAGCGAACCCTTATTGAAGAGAAACAAATTCTTTAGAGACAAGCACGCGAGTTGTTACTAACAACTCGCGTGCTTGTCTCTAAAGAATTTGTTAGAAGAACAACTTGTTAGTAAAAAGTAAGTTTTTAGGAGAAACAAATGCATAGATTTATTCTGAAACATTTGGTGTATACACGGTCCTACTGATTTGAAGAAGCGTGTAATTGCACCACTTTGAAATTTGGACTACTCAGATAAATTGCTACCGCCAGAATCACATCTGCTCGAAAAAATCCAGAAAACGGCTAAAAGTGGCGCGACCACTGACGTAAAGTGTAGAAGGAGGTCTTATACTCCCGCGGCAATGTCCTGCCAGTTCTAGTCTACAAAGTTGTATATTCACACAAAAGGGAAAGTTAAGGACGACCAAGAATAAGCTGAAAAAAAAACAAAGGTACGAGAACTTTCTTCTGTCGCTCTCTTGTGTTATAGTTGTTGCAAGAGACAAACTAATGTTTAGAACGAATCAGCTTCTTCCGATCAAAACGGGAACGCCTGCAGCAAAAAGACATTAGGACAGACATTAGTCATGCTGGCGTTTCGCTTTCCATGCTGTTTGCTGCGTCCTAGAAGCCAAACCACCGTAAAAGGTCACCATATTATGGTACTATAATGTGATGTGACCGGTCGGACTGTCAGGATGTTCGTACGATGAGTGATGCACTAGTGATTGTGATTTGACTTTCAATTTCCACTGAAAAATGTTACTCCAAGGAAAGCAGACTGTAAATGTTTGTCAGACTTTTGCTGATAAAGCTATAATGGAAGGGACCAATTTCGAAAATACTACTGTAGGGCTGTTTCAGAACGAAGGGGCATCTTCGGGTAGCGAAGTGGACGTGATAATAAAAATTTCGAAAGTCTTTTTTATACCAGATAATGGGAACAGGCTGTATGAAAAAATGAGATTCCCAACTCCCATTTCACTCTAGCGGATCATATAAGTAAATTTCCTGTTGAGTAGGATTCGGAAAATTTTCTATGGTTTTGGTGTCAAATCCTATTCAAGGCCCATCTGCATCTCTAATAATTTTTTGCAATGTTGTTTGTTCAGCCGTTTTGCATGAATTGTAGCTTTTAAGAGGCAAATAAAACAAAATAACAGTGGATATTGAAAAAAATTAAAAACAAATTGTGCTTTCTATAAAGCAGCATTATAAGCTGCTTGGGGTTGTTCTAATTACTGTGAACTCTCTAAGACTTCCGTCCATTCTAGAAATGGTGGTGGGGTTTTTTGCAAATTTCAAAAGAGGGGTAAGCTGCATTTCTATTTGCATTTCGCTGCTCATGTTTGGCATGAAGCTTATGAATAGGAAAGCGAAATTGGAGGGAAGATCAGGAACTTGTACCGCAGGTGGTGCTGTTTTTGTCATTACAAACAAGTCCAACGCTACAATTTCGACTGTCGAATCACGAGATACTGTACCTCAATAGGGGTTACTAAGAGGATGTGAAATCTATGACGAGTGGTTAGTCGGACATTTCATTTGGAGATCAACTTTTATGTCAATACGACGCTGTTGTATTCAATATTCAGTTTCTAAAGTCATTAGTCTTAACAAAAACTGCAAGGATTCATCGGCGAGACTCTACAGAAACTCCCATGAATCTTAGTGTAATATGGACAGAAAATCGAGAATCATGCCCTCTTTTCCGTTTTTTTTTCTTGCGAACGCCACTCGTTACATGTGCCATACTTCACCGCTTTTATGGTTATTCCAACTTCGGTTTCGCTATTCCTCGTAGACACTACATACTATTTCAAGAAAGAGACTAAATTACTTTTCCTCTTCTCCGCTCTATGTGCAGGGATTGTCGCAAGAGTTTCCAATGATTTCCATTGGCAATGGACGATAAAAAGAAATATAACAAATCAGAACGATTTCTGATGAAGCAATGTTCTCTTCATCAATATAGATGAGTTCTGTTACTCAAAGGAAATGAGGAAGTCAAATTTCCGTGATACGACTAGGTATAAGTTGAAATAGCTGATAAGTTTTGGAAGCCTCTACAAACAATTTCTCAAACGTAGCGATCTCCAGAAAAGGAGAACTTGGTGGAGGGGGGGGGGGGGAATTGGGACAAGATGGCAGCAGGCCATATTGTCCTGTCATGTCCTCATTCTAATTAGGTTCATTTTAGCAACTTAACAAGCTTTTGAAAACTTTATTGTTGCTGTTGATCTGCTCAGTGTCAATCATAATAAGTTCGCTTTATAATTGAGTTACAATAAATTGTCCTGAACTAATTGCGATAAACCATGGATGAAGTAAATAGCAAAACGTAATGAATTACGAGCTGAATCTACTCTTCGTCCAAAAAATCCAAAATACATCCATGATAGCCTAGCTCCACAATGAAGGTTGAACAAGCCGATATGTAGGAATACCCTCAAACTGTGTAATTTTTTTGATTCAAACTCTTATGGATAACCTTTGAGGTACTTGATAGGCCAGTGCAACGAAAACTCAGAAACTTATGTATTTTTTAGAGTAGTTACATATAATGTATAGTCGATTCGTTGACCGCACGGAGTGGACATCGTTGTGGAGCACGCGCCGCGAGATAAAACGCTTGCCTTACAAGGGAAGGATACCAACATTAGTTGGCAATTGAAAATGAGATGTACACCAGTAGATGCATCTTTGAACGCTGATTCCAAATCTGCTTTCTTTTTTTGCGGAATAAGTTTCCGAAAGAAGTTGTGAGCGTTTGAATGTCCAAATTTGTCAAGGTTTAGGTGGCCTAAAGTTGACGAAACGATGCACAAAAACATCGGAAAGCGGGAAATCAGTTTTGTATCGAGCATATTGCTTGCAATGAAGGAACAAAGCCGATGGAAATTGCTTAAGTATTGTCTTAGAGCTTTTCGCTAATTTTATGCCATCCAATGCTTGGCAAATTTGGACAATCAAGCACCCATAACTTCTTTCGGAGAGTTGTTCCGCAGAAAAGGAAAGCAGATCTAGAATCAGCGTTCAAAGGCGCGTCTACTGATATACATCTCATCTTCAATCGCCGACTAATGTTGGTATCCTTTCCTTGTTAGTACAAATTTGCCATTGTACAAGTCGTGCTCTCGCAATATTTTAGCCGCGCCGCGCGTGATCCGCAGCTTCTGAGCAATCCGTGCGGTCAGCGGATCGACGATTTGCTTTAGAACGTTGCAAGATCAACCAAAGAGATAGTAATTTTCAAACTTGTATCTCCCAGTTGCCATGTTTGCTATGATAGCTTTATAGCGTCCGTATGCGTGCTTCTGTATGTCATGGTAGGACCACATCTGCTCCGTACTCATTCTTTCAATGTCTAGCTGGCAAATTCAATTTGCGCTCGCATAAGAGCTTTATCTACTGCAGAAAAGCGACTGTATGCCTATGGAAGATAACGAAGAGAGACGCCGATACATCAGCAGTCTTTGTGTGATATGAATCGCCTACAGTATTCCTGTCCACTTCCTCGTGCCACTCTTTCTGGGCGGCCCATTGATGATACAATTTGTAAACCCGGCACCTACGCGGTTGCTTTATGTCCTTTCTTACACACCTCAAGGATCTTCCTCATAGGAGATTCAGCAAGATGACAAAGCAACATCTTCTAACTTCTCTTTCACCTAAGGATTTTGACGAGTTATTGATTTACTAGTTCAAAACAACGCAACAATGATTTACTGCTATCATATTCAAACTCATCATATTATTGGTCTACAAAAATGTATATAGAACAACCGTATTTGGTACACACATGGAACACCACAAAGAAATCAAGAAAAGCTACAAGATTGCGGTGCTTTGATCAAGGGAAAGGAATGACTTCTGTGAAACGAAAAAATCTTAGTCTATAGCGCACTGAAAGGTGAAACAGTACTTTGACCAGGTCGTGACAATCGTGTCGGCTGTGGTCATTGCTCACCTATTGTATCAACAAAACTGAAGGACCAAGGATTCGGCGTCTGTGAAATCTCTTGCGGGCAACCGAATACATTCTATGGTAGTCGAAGCGGCTACTGAATGCGTGCAGGCCTTTTACAAACTTGCTAGGGCGAACCGATTACCAAGCCAGTGCTTTTAGGTCCGCACGCAGTGAAGTGCAATTTGATGCAAATCGTCCACCAAATACGGTTAGCGGGGTTTGCTTTGGGAGCGAATATCTCAGCGAAGCAGCAGACACTATTTGCTGATGCTATGCACTGCCTTGAAAGGCAGCGTCCAGGCAGATCTGGACCTATGGAGATTTTACTTGGAAAGTACTTTTGGGGCCCTAACAAAGTCAATGCCCAAGCGGCAGCGCAGTTAATGCTCTAACGGCTGAGATATTCCCCTCAAAAGTGGACCCCGCGATCGTGTTCGCATGGATTCATGGCAGTTTCGCGCCAGGATCCACGCTTTGCGCCAAATCCATGCGAAATAGATCGCGGGGTCCAGTTTCGAAAGGAATATCTCAGCCGTTAGAGCACTACTTGAGCGGTTTGGCAGTGGCTTAGTTAGGGCCCCAAAATTACTATCCACGTGAGATCCCCATGTGTTCAGAGTTGCCTGGACGCTGCCTTTAATAACCCCCAAAATCTATTTCCCAGTGCGCGCTCCATGTGTACAGATTTGCCTGGACGCTGTCCTTGCAGCTAGAATTTGGTATGAATAACTATGCCGCTAGAATTTGATATGAAAATAAATGGTATCATTTTTTCTATATAGCTTTCGCTTTAGAAACTGTGCCTTGAATCTATTCCGTCGACTATCACAATCTGGCAGAAGCGTTCAGCGAATGGGAGTAACAACCCAAAAATGCGAGAAAGATGTTTTGCAATCGAACAATCGGGATATTGACGTTTGATCTGATTTATCAAAGGAACATATTAGAGCAAAAAAGACTCGTCATCCTCAATACCGTCTGTGGACATGCGCCAAGCGTACTCTACTTCATGTTGAAGAGAATACTGACTGCGTGTCAATTTTCATAGTGACTTGCTTGTATCAACCTGTTACCGAGTCAACGAGATTACTCTGGTACCAATTGACCACCACGAAGGGTAGAGAGCTTGGTTGGCCTTAGTGCAGATAAAGCACTGGGTCATAGCGGCGCCTCATACCACTACGCCACTCGCCCTTACCTGACCGGGAGGATCAAAGTACTGACTTGGTAACTAGTTCACCCCTGTAAGTCATTATAAGGGATGGAGCGCATTCAGTAGCCTCTTCGACTACGAAGTAAAATGCGTTCGGCGCATGCCCGCAGAAGGTTTTAAAGACGCCAAATCTTACATTTAAGAACAACCACTCAGAAGTAACAGAAACACCGCATTTTACAGTCTTCAATGTTTCGCGCCACGGGGTTTTCCCCGTCCTCGAAGAGCAGCCCGTTGTCGGCCTCTCATGCGAGCACTCATACGCTCTGGGGGCGCTTCACTGCTTGGCGCTGCGTGCGCCAGCGAACGCATACCAGCTTGGTACAGTCCGATTGGGCGGCGGCGGCGAATAGCGAAGTTACCCGATGTGCCTGTCTCGTTGCTAAAATGGGAAAGATGAAGAACGAATGATTGCACCACAATGACAAGGAAAAAAACGAAATTTTTTTTGAAAATTTGAAGTCATGACTACCTGCTCGAACATTGATCGTCGGCCCCATACACAATTGGTATGCGTAGTCTACCAGCCGGCTGTGACGACGTACCACTACTACCTGTTGCCATTGACGATGTTGTGGTGGTATGACGAACAGTTGCCGAAGTTCCTCCACTTGAACTGTTTCCAGTGTCGGTTCTTCCTTCATCGTCAGCTTCTTCTACAGCTGATGCAGCTTCACGATCTTCATCGTCAACGAAATCACCGCCATGAGCTGGCGCATCCAGAGAGTTGTCTGAAGGGGAATGGCATCAGTAATATTGAAAGAATTATGCACATTTATCTAGGACCGTTTTGATCTACACAAAGTGAAAAAGAATCTTAGAGCAGAGTATACTTATTTTCAACTTCCACATATTGATGATACTGCATAGCTCATGTTCTTTTACGAAAGACTATTTTCCACGTTCAAAAAAAAAACACGCAGATTTGCTATTTCGAAGACAAATCTCTTGAAAGCCTGTTCAATACGTGAAATTCCTAGCTATCGCAACATCATGCACATAAAATTTTTCATCAGAGAACTTTTATCAACGAAAACTCGGACGGAAGCATTCTACTAACCATCAGCTGCAAGAGCTTCATCATCTTGTCCAATAACCAGACCATCTCCCTCATCCAGCTCGTCGTCACCTTGATCGTCTTCCATTTCCACTTCGCCGATTTCCTCAGCATCATCCTCGCCGTCTGATAAAACCTACAAAGGATTAACTCAGATGTGGCCTAGTTGTGTCATGAAGCGTTCTACGCAAAAACCTACCACTACATCTGCAGAGTCACCATTATCAATCTCTTCATCCGATTCAATCCCACCTTCTTCTACAAATTACAGATTATCGGCGTAAAGAATAAAAAAAAGCAAAAGGAACAATGACCGACCCTCCTCGTCCTCGAAATCCTCCATTGACTGTTCCGATACGTCTTCATCGGACAATAATTCGACCTTAAATGGAACAGATGCAATAACATTGGAAAAAAGCTTCCAAGCTAGCTTTTCAAATAAAGGACAACAGCTACTATCAAAAACCATACTTACGTGATGAGCGGCATCATCGTGCCCCTCTTCCAAGACCTCAATATCATCTCCTTCGGCATCGTCCGGAGCATCCATGCCTTCGATATCAGCCGCAGCCGCCATGTTGCTCTCGGGTATAACGTCTAAAAATTCTTCTGAAGCAACGCATGGAGAAACACGTAGATAACCTACCCAAATCGCGGCGCTCTTCGCTACTAGTCACAATCTCGCTTGGGCTATCTCTATGACGTTTAGATTCACAGCTAGAAGTTTCGTTTGTAGCAGATCTCTTCCTTCTTCCATCCGACGATGACACTGGCATCCCGCTGCCGCTGTCTCGTGACTCTCCTGCAGAATCTAAAAAACAAAGCTTGACAGCCAAATACGGCAAAATAAGCCTCTTACCGTTATGTCCAGCCCCATCATCGTCATTCGCCTCTACACCTCGTACTTCAGCACTGCCGCTGACCTAACAAAGGATACTATAAATGCGTTCAAAATGTGACAGAAAATATAGATCAAGTACCTGACTACTTTGTTCGGCTTCGGTAATCACAGATCCTCCTTTGCCTTCTACAGTTGTGCTGTTCGCGCTTGACGTGCTCACCTTCAAATAAATGCGGAAGTATCAAAAATTGAAAAAAAAAACCGTGAATTAGGATAAGGGAAGGGAGAAAAGATACAAGTTCATATAAAGTCTACTAATTGAAACTGTAAGGAGCACTCACATTTGCATTTGCAGCAACTGGTGCTGATTTTCCGAACAAGGATTGATGTGGATTAATCCTAGCTGCTGATGACGTCGCCAAAGAGTATGTTATTGGAGATGACGGCACCTAAATGTAGTTAAGTACAAAGAAAATAAATCTACTCGATACTGGAAGAAATCGGTTCAAAAATTCTTCAACGAACCTGCCCGGAAGGTGCACTTTCACTTGTAGTTACCCCTTGCTTAGACTGTGGTTCTTCGGGAGGCGGTGTTGATGTGGCCTGAGTAGATGGGAACGCCGGCTCTACACTCGATTTGAACAATTTCGGTACTTGTGCGGATAGGGAGCCAGCCGGCAGAGGTGCTGCTGATGAGGACTGCGATGCAGCAGAATGAGACATCTACAAAACATTAAACAGCATGCTTTGAAAGGAAAAGGGAGAGTGATTACCAACCCCAGAGATCGTGTCAGCTGTTGTGGTCACTGTAGGTGCAAACCGGACCGGAGAATCGAAAGCTAGTCGTTTAGATGTTGTTACAGATGACGAAGCACTATCTCCAGATCCAAGACTACAAAAACGGATTGTGGGCTTAGTCAAAAACTCGTAAAATGCTACCTATCAGGCTGCGATCCGGTGGACATCACTGATGAAGCCGATAAAGATACGGCAGCTGGACGATTCTGATTACCTGGCCATACAGGATTTGCTTGACCCTCCAGAGACTAAAGTAATCCCTTTTAAGCCAAAAGAGGCAGATTGAGAATTAATGATTATCTTACAGCAATTCTTGCAACCAATTCGTTCTTCTCAGCAGTTAGTTGCGCTACACGAGCTTGAGCCTTTTCAAACGACGGAGCCATGGCATTGAGCCGGAACTTCACCTCTTCGTACTCACCAATTTTTGAAGTCAGATCATTGCTAAGCTTCTGAAATTGGCCCTTGATAATTAGAGAATTATGGAGAAAGGCGGAAATGATACCGCATTCTCTTGCTCCAGACTATTGACTTTTTCCTTCAGCGCATTCAAATCTTGTGATGAGCTGAAAAATGCATTGCTTCAGGAATAAAGCAGCGTACGTTGATGCTTACCTCTCAAGAGCAGATGCTGGAGGAGGCGCAGACTTCAATCGTGTTACTTCTGCCTGCAAGCTGCTAATCTTCTGCTTGTCCTCAGCATTCTGGAAAACAACATGCAGTGATGTCCAGTCGAAAGCATTAAGAAAATTCTCTCTGTCTTTCAGAAAGTTCGTAGATCACATACTTTGTAAGAGATATAGCGCCCATTATGCGTAATGCTTTTGCCGCAATCCGCAAAAGAATTGTTCAATGTAAATTCTACCAAAAGAACAAAGCACTTATAAATCTATCCGAATATTTTTTGTCTTCCTTGTAAAATGAGTTATTTGAAGCCAAATATGTTATGACTGATCTTGAATCCCAATTCTCAGACCATAAAGAAAGAGCGATTGGTTTACGACTCAGTAATGCTACATCTCAATTGCATTGCGCACCCTAAAAAAGAAAACGGCGCGACCATTATTCGCTATCGCAACCCCGAAGCAGATCGTCTTTCAAGGTTCTTGACTAACTTTTTCACATGTGGACCCAAAGAGCTATGAACCAGAAGGGCATAGAACCAGCCGGCTAAATTACAGGACTGGTAAACGCGATTGTCGCATGAGCGCTTTCGAATAGTCAATGTCCAGATGCGATTGCTCGTAACAATCAGCTGGCAGATCCGCAAGTTTACCAATCCATTTCACAAAAATGACTGGTACTACTGACAGTGTTTTAAGATAGCATACAGAATGTCCCAAAAAAAGTACCTACACTGTTTGATTGTAAATAACTCTTTTGTAATAAAGTGTTTCGAGGAGCTTTAGGTACCATTTTGTAGAGCGAGGTTGAGCTTAGATTTATAGCATGGAGCGAATCATCTATCGCTATTCACTACTGTAGGATTACGGTACGAACTTCGATAATGATTTTAGGTCATTGGAGGCTATATTCTGCCTTGGAACAAAACCAAACAAGCTAAAAACTCTTATACTATGGTAACGGGAGCTCCTGATTTCGAATTTAAAAATCCCATTTTACTGTGATGCTTCTTTCCTAAGATATCGCCCGTAAATCGTAATAACTCAATACCCAGCATTTGTCAGAAATGTAATTACACCGTCAAAAAAGGTGAAAACACTCGTAAAAAGTCGTTAGGTGAAATCAGCATGCGCGACAATCCTAGTACAGGATTATTCAGATTTTTTTTTTAAATTTTGAGTAGTACATTTGACAATGGTTCCATATGCTGGAAGTCTTACCGTAATCCTACAGTCATGAAGGGCGATAGATGACTCGCTCCATACTGTGAATCTAAGTTTAACCTCGCTCTACAAAATGGTACTTAAAGCTTCTCGAAACACTTCATTACAAGAGAGTTATTTACAATCAAACAGTAAGTACATTTTTTGAGACACCCTGTATATCCAAATACTGCAAACGAATTCATTTGACACTTTTCGAGTGAAGCACTTATTCTGCATAGTAGAATCTATCTGTAGCTATATATGGTAGGTGTACGCATGAAAACCCCACAATTTGCTGAACTGCTTGCGGGTGAGGGGTTTAACTTGGTTTGACCACAAACGAATATTGTAGCCACTCATTACGGTGATCTTTCATCAAAAGGTAGCCTTATATGTACATTTGAGACACATATCAGTCAATCCCTTTCTGCAAAGTATCACCATATTTCAGTTCACGACCTTACCGTACACCCACCGTAGTATTTAAAGAACCTTACCCTTTAACTGCACGATGAAGCAAGAATTGAGGAGCGATTATGACATTCACGACTGGCATATCAGTCATGCCTAACTGCAAGTTTCGCCAACAGATAACAACCCTCACCTTATACCTATACCTACCGTAATCTGTGAAAGCTAGGATGCGGAAATGTCACTTTTTGGCTAAACGTGGCAAAATACCAACAACTAAGGTTTTGATTTGTTTGTAATCTAAAACAACCGAATATCTAAAGTAACAAAGAAAGGAAGCAGAGATTCTTGGAACTCATCCAGTTCTTGAAACTTCGCGCAACCTCCTTCAGAGACCTCACTTTTGATCCCAAACTTCGGCAATAATCGCGACGGCGAGACTAATCGGGCTAATCCGGGAAAAACTGGAGCTAACACCATCCAGATATCCCTTCTAGTGACCCGCTAACGTATGGGGGAAAGTGAAAGTGCGCCGCTATGAGGACTGACCCCGATCCATCCACTGGCTTCGTTTCGTGGAATTCACAATCCAATCGGACGCTTACATGCTCCTCCACTTCCTAGCTCTACTCCTATTCCTGCTACGGTCACGATTAGCTGACGCACAAGTAACTTCCGCTCCATTCTTCAGTCAACCGCAAGGAGATGTTCCATTGTTTAACAAAATTCAATTTGCTGACTTTCAGGGTGGAAACAATGTAAGCCTTACATCCATCTGCGTCCAACTAGGGGTGATTTTTTTCGTTTCATGATCTCATGAGTGGAGTAGATGCTAGGAAGATCATCGGACCATTGATGTCGCCGTTTATGGACATGTTCGACGTAATGCAGAGAAACGTCAAAGCTCGAGCATATGCGGATAAGGTGTGAAAATTTTTTCAAGCATCCCAGATTACTTTGGAAACATTCCAAGAACCACTCCTTCATCATTTCCCCTATTCTCCCACTGATATTCTCCCTCCCGCACCATTCTCTTAATGTTACAAAATCTTCTGTCCTCAACCTAGCGTATTAATTGAAATTTCATCTTTTAATAGACTTAACATAAACCATATTGATATCGACTCGACCTGGTTATAAAGTAGCATATAGCTGGTAAATCTGATCCTTGATAACATATCCATGCGGTGCTGACGCTTGCCGACAACATTTGCGCCTGACCGCATAGCTACGTTTACGATGATGGCAGTTTTGGCGCGCAAATGCTGTCGGTAAAATAGCGGCACTACGAAGGCACGATATTAAGCGTCAGATCTGCTAGATCACCAATGGCTTAGTGCCAAATTTGTCCCTTTTGAAATTTCACTTTTTCGACTCACTGTGAAAAGTCATTTGCTAGAATTCAAATATGCTAGTGGTTTTAAGGCGCTATTCCAGTATACCGACCCCAAAAATCAAATATTTGCAAAACTCACATCTTCAAATTTTGCGCCCTATGACGGTATGCACAAGTGCTCTCGGCACCACAACTGCGCTATATGAACCCTCAGATCCACTAAAATTCATATATTTGCACTTTAGGTAGCACAAGAACGGGAAGACAGCCCTCTCAGCAGTTCGAGAAGCATTTTCGAGATGATAGAACGCTTGAATCGACCAACTACTACAACCACTCCACAACCACCACTTCTAGAGCGCCTTATAAGACCATATCTGGAACCCTGGCAGAAGCAGTTTAATGATCTTCAAAAAGATGTAGCTGGAATTCTACCTGCAACAACCACAACTTCGCCGATGATCACAACTACCACCAGAGAAAATCTTTTCGCAAAGTCTTTGCAGCTATTTTTCCCCACAGTCCAAGAAGAAAAACCTTTGGCGACGACTACTCCTACATCTCCTAAGCTCTTCGATGCCAGCATGATCGAAAAACTATTCTTCTCACGACAGAGACGAGATGTACACACTCGACAAAAACGACAAGACGACGTGAGGTCGCCAAATTCAGGTCTGTTCGATCCATTTCAAAATCTCGAAAAACCAGTTTTAGAGCTCACCAATCCATTCACACCAAATCCGCTGATGTCACTGTTCACCACAGCTAAACCGTTGCCAGAGTTGCCTCCTATTAAACGACCAGAATTTCTCGATATGCCTTTTCCGTCACCTACACTTCCCCTACCGCAATATAAACTACAGGACCCTTTCTATAATCCGCTTTTTCCAAATAGAAAAAATAAATTGTTTGACCTCCTCAGCGGCAGTGAAGCTGTTCGACTTACCGGCTAATGACATTCTATCAACTCTTTCCTCCTATACGATCCTCACTATGTTGATATCACCCATGATAATAAACTACTTTGTCTGTTACATGCATCATAATCAAAGGATTCCAAAAACTTCGAAAAAAAAACTGAACCTCGTCACGGTATTTACGAGCCAATTTTCGAGTAGCTTCGAACTTATTGCAAGTGTCCGCATGCTTAGCAGCTAGCTCCTTCACCCTTGCACTGAACAGATCGTACACAGTCTGAGGCTCACAGGAAATATTATGTTTCAAGAATGCTTACTCAGCCGCCATCTTGAGTTTTTCGGCTTCCACGGCTTGTGCACTTGCTTTGGTCAACTCTGCCTCAACTCGCGAGAGTTTTGACTTACACTGGTCCAATTCAGCTCTAAATCATTACAATAAGCTCAAAAAAAAAGAAAGATAGGCACACCTAATTTCCTGGTCACCCTTCAGTGCAGCTTCTGCGACACGCTGACGTAAAAGATCGGATTCTTTCCTCTTAGCATTCAGCTCGGATGTTAAAGTCGTGATCTTCGAGTTGGCTTCATTAAAGGAAGCAGATACTTCCGCGAACTTTGCTTCGACTTCCTTTTTCTGCAAAAGGTTCGATCAGTCAAGGCTAGATATGTGACACTCAGGGAGTGAAAAAATCGAACAAAACCGGAGATTCATTTGGGCAAATTTCCAAATTTCCTAGGCAAAAAAATCGGTGATATGAGATATATAAGAAGTAATCGTGTATTCCACACTAGATATTTCCAAGAATGGAGATAACAGAGACCGAGAACTGGCAGAAAGCGTAAAAAAAGATGATAAAGTTGTTCGGCTACCCCACTCAATGCAAACAAATTAGGGATACAGCATGTAATTGATAACCTGTTTCGATAACTCTGTCGAGATTTTGTGCAACTTCTCATTTTCACATCTGAACATAGTATTCTGCCTTTGTACCACAGCCATTGCCTCCAAGCGTTCAACCTACGAATCAAGTAATTACACATGCAGTCGTCAATATTGAATGCTATTTTCCGTACCAGCTGCGCTTTCTCGGCTAATGCATTAGCATTTGCAACAACCTCCGATTGCAGACGTCGAACAGTGGCGCTAAGCTCATCACGATTGGACCGGATTTCGTCAACTTCCGCGCGTAGGCGCCTCACTTCAACTTCAGCAGTCATCGAGCGCGAAACGGCCTACAGTGCAGATAAAGTAAAGAGAACAACAGTGTAAAAAGCTTCCGCACCGTTTGCTTTTCTTCTCGCAAGAATCTCACAACACTTTGCAGCGATTCTATAACAGATCCTGCAGAATCAGGATTGCTCAACGGATCTGCAGGTTTTCCTTCGGTTGCGCTTTCACTCACTTGCGCTACCACCTGAAATGGCAAACACATACAAAGTCATCCAACTGTGGAAAAAAAAGGATAAAAGAACAAACATTCTCGTATTTCTCCAAAATCTGTTCCATCTTCTCCTCATACTGCTTCACAACCTCATTCAAGCGAGTCTCGATGGCAGTCACTTCACTCGAACGAGCAGCTAACAACTGTTCGGCATTTTGAAGACTTTCTTCAGCCTATAAACAGCTCACAATTTTTTATCATTTTGCAAAATCTGGTGTATAGTTTGCTCAAAAGCTTCAAGATCAATGGTAGAGGTGAAAAAGTACTCAGTGTTCTGTACGCTTTCAAACATTCCACAAAATTTCTAGATCGGGTTGCTATACCCAACAAGGATATTTATTTGCATGGAAATTCTGATTTTCATTTGTATAAAAACTCTGACTATTCAGGGAAGATAGAGAGTCTACGAATTGCAAAATAGATATGACAAAGACATCTACAAAATTGAAAGTATCATGGATTTTCTGTAAAAACGTCAAGGCTGACCAGCGGTAACCACCTCCCTTATAATTACGGTACTCGTGCCTATGATCCATGGGCGTCATAAAATGTGAACCACTCACAACTCTCGAAGCTTCACAAGCGCTCATGAGCTCCTTTTGCTTGGACTCGAGCTTAGCATCTCTCAGCATAAGATCTCCTTCTTTTTCTGACAGCTGAGCTTTGAGTTCGGCCACTTGGTCCGTCAACTAAATAGCCAAAATGAATCGGATGGAAATTGCAAGCCAAAAATGACTTCTCTTTACCTGATTGCGCTCGGTCAGTTTTCTCTCCATTTCGATCTGTGACGAGTTCAACGACTCGTTAAGATGTTTGATGGACTCATCAGCGTCCCTCTTTTGAGCTTCAAGAATATCAATTCTCAATTGAAGTTCGGTGGAACGCTGGAACAGAGTGTTGACTTACAAAAAATCATAGTAATGTTCTAACAAACCTCTAAGTGCTGCATCTTCATATCACTTATTTCTGCCTCTAGTTGGTTTATGGTCGTCGACAGTTGAGCTACCTTAGCTGTGAGCTCTTCTGATCGTCTGAAAACGAAAAAGGTATCAATATATTTGAGATACAGAAGTGCTTTACCCACGCTTCGGCGCTGCTCGCTCTTGTTTCAAGACGATCGCGCTCCATCGATCCGAGCTCCGCCATCTGCTTGATATTTGATTCAAGTACATTACTGTGAGACTCCATTCTGGAACAACTTACTTACTTTCAGCTATTATCGACAAAACTATCGGAAAAATGTTTACAAGAAGCTAAAGCTAAGCACACCTCTCATTTTCGTCGCTCTTCTTCATCGCAACGCTCTCGGCTTCGGCTAGTTTTGCCTTCATCTCATCAAGCTGGCATTCGAGATATTGGGTTCGATTTTTGAGTTGTTGGCATTCTTTTTGCAAGCGTTCGGGTGTCATACCTGTGAAAGACAACGACTATGAGGCGGCCTAAGTTCGTATTATATGGAACATTCTAGAAATCCGAACCATAATCCACTTCAAACATGACTTCAAACTAACCTATAGTGCTTTCATGAGCAGTATACTGCGCTTGCATATTACTCAACCGTGTCCGCAGATCAATCAACTGACGTTCACAAGAGGTCAGCTCCTTTTCTTTCTCGGAGAGCTGTTCTCGTAGAAGTGTGAGTTCTTGCTCGAAACGAGTCTAAATCAGCCATGGTCGGAAAGATCTTCCAAGGATTAACGGCTGGTTAACTCACCTGCATTTGCTTCGCTTCATTTCTTGCATGTGAAAGTTGGTCAGTAAGGCGAGCGTTGGATGTCTTCAAACTATCCCGCTCGAGTCGAAGAACCTTGAAAAAAAAAACATGATCGCGACCCTTAACTTGTAACTAAATCTCGAGCATACCTCAAGCTGAGACTCCACAACTGTCGTCTTCTCAGCTTCTACCCGAGATAAGCGGTTGGTTAACTCGTTCAGTGACACCATCTAAATCACAGTCATAAAAAAAATTAAACCTGGTGAAGGTCAACAAGAGCTCACCATCTGCTGCTCACTAAACGCAGTCCTCTTGTAAGCTCCTATCTCTGATTCTAACCTGTTAATCGTCAAACGAGCATGATCTAATTCATCACGAGCCGAATGTAATTCGACCCTGCAAAAACACAATATTCGCAACAACAGGCGCAAAACAAGCGTAAGAACCACTGGAAAGAGATCGACGATCTAAAACTCAGAGACTGACTTGTAATTATTGGCTGTCCTTTGCATCTCAAACAACTCATTCTGCAACTGCTCCACTTTACCAGCCATCTTCGCATCACTGGATCTCAAGCGATCATTCTCCTCGCGTATTTGGTCAAACTCCTTTTGTGAACGCTCTAGTTCCTCAAAGATTGCTCGTTTCACAACTGCCAAAAAGTGATTTGACTCTAACCTTCTCAAAGACGGCTGTTGTCTGCTTTTGCAATTCAAACGAAGCCTCAAGACGAGCGTTCGTCATCTTGACCTCCGCAACCACTTGTTCATTTCTAGCAGCACGATCGCTGTGGATCCTGCACAAAAACATTGTAGTGAACACGATAACTTGCTTGCAAGAAAGTCATACCTATCCGAGATCTCCCTCTCTTCCTTAAGCGCTTTGATGTACTCCTCCAAACGCGCTACCTTCAGTTCACTTGCTTGGGCCTAAAAGACAATTATGGATTCGCACATGAACGAAATAACATTTGAAAAATGGAAGAGAAAGTAAACCGACAAACCCTAGCTGCAGCCTCTTCAGCCTTGATCTTCGCTGTTCTTGCTTCAGCCACGCTAACATTATCTTCTGCTAATTTTTTCAGTTGATCCGCTTGATTTTGAAGCTGTAATGTATACGATATATGCGACAGAACAAAACCAGACAACAAATAACAGGAAACTTACAAGATCGAATGTCGTGTGCATCTGCTCCAATTCGACTTTCAGACTAGATTCAGCCTTGCGAGTGCTTTCCAACTCACGCTTCAAGCACTCAATTCTGAGACAGATAGATTGTAATTAATCGATACAAGGCAGCAAAAATTATCAACTCTTACTCTGCATTTTTCGAAGTAAGGACCACCTGCTCAGCGGACGTTTTGGCAACTTCCAACTCTGATTCCAGTCGACGATTTATTCTAGAAACAACTGATGTCAGCTGAACTACGTGGATACAAAAACAAACGAGAGGATGAAATTAAAAAAATTACGGAACAATTATTAGGGATATAAAAGTATGAAACTAACTTCTGCAGCTGAGCAATGTTGCTGAACAAACGCGCATTCTCTTCTTCGTTTTCATTCATTCCTTCATCTTCTCCTCTTCTTTCCTTCTCCATAACGAAGAGGAGGTGCTGCACCTAAAATAGAGCTATTTATGATGCCTCACAGATTTATTTTGACTCCGTACATTAGTTCAACCTTAATTGCTTGGAAAACAACTTTGGCCTTACCTGCTTGGAAACTTTGGCGTAATCTCTTTGGTATTTTTCAAGCTCAGCTCGCGTGAATGCAAGCTCTCTCGTTGTAGCATCTTTGGCACTCTCTAGGCGACGGCGAGCTTCATCAGCTTCCTGAATTTAGAAACTGCAATTTTTGTACGCAAAGGGAAGCCAAACAGAAACAAAAATACTTTGAGCTGCTCCTGAAGTCGGCTGTTGTGGTCAAATGTCTTATCTAGTAGCTCCTTTTGATGGAATAATTGTGGTGCTCGTTCTATAAAATCGAAATTACGGGAAATCCATGGTCGAAAATTAGAGGCAAGAGCACACAAAGAAACAAACTCCACGCACCCTCTATTTCTTCCACCATTTCCCTAAGGTTCAGCTCCAACTGCTTATTTCGCTCTCGTGCCTCCGCAAGCTCTCCGGTAAGACGAGCATGTTCTCTGCAAATCATTATTCAAAAAAATAGCATTGAAAGTAGAAGCACACAGTACTCGCCTCCGTATGAGAAAATCAAACTTACCGGACTATGCTGGTCAAAGATTGACCACCGCGGAGTAGTCTGGCAGTTTCTACAGCAGCCGGAGAAAGAACGGCAAGTTCATCCTCGCTCACATTCAAGTGAACTAAACTCTTTCTAATCAGAAAAAAAAAGAGCAACATATTAGTGGTTAAACTGACCAGCGTGCTTTGACTTCAACAGTTCATTTGCCTTATTCAACTCCTCTTTGAGCTCAGCAATTTCTTCGTCTGTAAATGCAAGCATTGTTGATTACATATTCGAATTTAATCTGATGTGAAAAGATTCCTACCTTTCCTTTCAACTTCTAGATTTCTTAGCCTCTTTTCTTCCTCAATTTCTTCCTGAACAGAGGCTAAGACTTGTTTTGTCTCCTCGAAAAGATTTTCTCGAGATTTCCATTGCTCACTGCAAACTTCCACAGCTGATATCGGAAGAGGAGATTTGAATGAAAAGCTATACCTTATCTCTGCTGCCACGTGTTCTGCTTTCTCTAATGACTCTTTGTAAAGTGCAGAAAGTTCCCTTTCTTTTCGCAGTTCAGCTTGGAGACCAGCAATTGCGGCTGCGTTTTCGTTGGAGATCTACAAGAGAAGACATTGCACAGCCATACATTCCTAAGGTGTAATCATACGTGTCCGCTTTGATCAGAGAAAAATATCCATTAGATTCCATTTCAAGTTTATCGGAATTGATTAAGGAAAGATTACTGAAAAAAAAAACCTGTTCAATTCTTTGCACTGCCTCTTCGGCTCGTTTCTTATGCAGTTGCACCTGCCCACTGTGGTCTTCTGCTTCGAGTTGAAGACGTGCAATGTCGTCTTTCAACTGAAGCCTTTCTCGCTGCCATGAGAGCTCTTTGGAACTCTACAAAAAAAACATGATAGCATACACATAAGGGAGATACCGTAAAACAAACCATTTCTATTTTCATTTCTGCACATTTGTTATCTCTTTGAGCGATTTCTTGTAGAAACCACTGCCGAGAGTTAGTATAGACTTCCGTTTCAGTTCGCGCTCTCTCCCTTTCTGACTATAATCACAACATTTGGGAATCAGCTGCTAAAGTGTGACAGTCAGAAACATACCATTAGTGCTCGCACATCCTGTTCACGACTCGTTTTCTCTTGCAAAAGTTCAGCCTTTTCATGCAAAGCTTTTTGTAGCTCATCCTTTAGAGCAAAATTCTCAGCTAAAATAGAACAATAACATATGCTGTAGAGAATAGATTCAAAATCACAGACAAAGCAAATTTTCAAGGAAAGACATAAGACATATCAAAACTCTGCATAACATTCACATCGATAAATTAAAAAGAAGAAATACTCTTATAGGGCTTATCAAATGCAGTGTCGGGTGAACCAGCATCTCAGCTCCTGCGCGGCCGTTTCGTCTGGACTATGCAGTGCACCTCTTTCGCGAACATGCTCTCTGATCACTTTCCCACCGTGAGTGGAGGTGCTGGTGCACCCGACACTGCAATTGGTAAGCCTTACTTGCGATAAGTTGCTTTTCTTTTGTGAGCGTGCGTATGGCATTGTCTCTTTCCTCTTTTTCGTGTTTCAACCTTTCTATTTCACAGTCTAAGTCCATCTGAAAAGGAGATTTGAAAACTGACGAGATTAAAGTAGTAAAAGACCTTTGTTCTGGCCAAGCCATTTCTGGAGGACTCCAACTGTCGATATAATCGAGATCGCTCATTCAAGTCCTCAACTGCAAATCAAAAAATGAACGTCAGTGCAAATGATCAAGAAGTGTAGTGACTGACTGCTACTGGCGATCTGAGATTGCAATTCACTGTTCCGAGTAGACAGCTCTTTGCATTTCTCTTTAACATCCATCAATTCCTCTTCGATATTTTGTTTGGCATGCCCTAAAAAGCTTTGCCATCGTATATAAGAATAAAAATAAGTCTCTGGGACACCTACGTAAAGAAATGACTTCGCCGAGGATATTCTGCATATCTGTTGGTTCACCGCCACTCTCAATCGCTGTGCTCTGATCAACTTGACCAAGTTCAGCAACTTCGGGTGCAGCAAAGACATTGGCTAAAAAGACGATTATATGCAAAAGCCAGGGGACCAAATAAACTACGAAAAAGCCAATAAAATTAGTTAATCTCACTTCCTGTGCTAATCTCGGGAGGCACTAACTCCATTGACTGGGATTCAGGCACCGCAGCAGAAGCCATGGGTTTCACATCACCAGTGGCGGTATCGACATCAATAGGGTTGTTCCCTGAGTTTGGTGTGGGATTGGGATCCATCCTTGAAGATCCAAGACCTGTGAACATCATGATTCCACTTTTGGAACATCTCAGATCTACGGATATCACGGAAAAGGAGGATAAAAGGCATTTGAGACATCTCCTGCTCGAAACAACTTCCATAGAGTATTATGAATATTGGCAATAGACTTTCTCAGTTGCCTACTCTTGGTGCCATATTTATACAGGTATGCGACAACTCTTCCTTGGAATCAGAACGGTTGAACCCAATTTACAATAATTTGTGACCAGATATTTCAACTAATCGCACCGTGAAGAGGTGGAGAAATCAGGCAGAAAGAGTCGAACCGCTCGCTGCAGTTAGCAAAATAGAGAATCATAAACAACAGCAGACAGGATTCATTGATAAGTCACTCAAAAAATAATCTGCCTTGTACGGAAACAGAAATTACATTGGAGAAAGGTAAACAACCTTGGAAGAGATTCGAACAGTAAAAAAAATTTGAAGGGTGCGCCGCTTCGCTGTCGCGCTCTAGTCGCGTTGCGATGGCCATGGAGCATCAAAACTTTCGTTCAATAATTTACTTTAGTTGAGATAAAATTCTATAATATATCTTTAAAATCTATGGAAGGATCACGCGAATCACTATCTGAAAGATTATCTGGGTTGTTGGCTGCTCTGCGTAGATCCGGTTCCAGTCAAGAAGGAGGAAGCTCTGCAGTTTCTTCGTAAGTTTTGCCACAGTTTCAATGATTTTTTATCTCATTTGGAGACTCCTAGCATATAAAGTTTGCGCATCTCATTTTCTGAACCCGGAGCTATTCAATTTTCAGGGCAGCTAAAGGCGAGTCGAGCTCTAATGCATCAGAACACAGTTCTACGAAAACTGCGACACCAACAAAATCGAAATCTGGTGATGGTGTGGAAACTTTGCCGGAACTGCTTGAGTTTCTGAGAACTACATCGAATCCGAGTTTGTTGGAGCTAAGTATTTGCTAACGATGATACTATGATGATTTTTGCAGAGCGCCTTCGTGAGGTTGTGGGACGGTTTTTGGAGAATCCTTTGCTCTCAGAAAATGATCGGAATCTGGTGAAGAGAAAAGTGCAAGAGAAGATTGAAGAACAGAAAAGGAAAAAGGAAGAGGCGAAGAAGTAAGTCCGGCTGTTCGGGTCATCTCCGTTCGTTATTTTATGTATTTTTTCTTACTGCTCTTGTCATACAGAACTTTTTCGTGAAAGTTCCGACTTACTTTAGCCTGATCACTGTTAGCGGGTACCTTAGCTATACATTTTTACATTGTGACCGTATTTACTCATTGTACCCCAAAATAATCAGCCTTCCGGTCCCATTTATCCGTGCGCAGCCCCGCCGCGTGGACTACATTTATAGTCACCAATCGGCAACATCCACACGGGGAACCAAGGCCGATTATGTTATCATTCAGCATCGACAACTCCGGTAAAAGCAGTAACAGCGCAAAGTACGTCTAAGAGTTACTATAACGGTGTTGCCCAGTGTTACCGCCGTTGAATCATAAAATAAATGATTAACTCAGCCTTAATCTTCAGTACAATAATGCCGGCTGATGTTTTTTTTTAAATAGCGTGGCAAAGGTTCGACCATGCATCACTACTATTAGTGAGTGTTGCTGTTGTTCACTAAAACCGCACCCCGTTGTTTACTGATGTTCCGCCTGAACATTAGCTGCGCAATCTCATTGTTCTTTCCAATCTCACTGTGACTGGCATCCTCTTCAATTTTGCCAGTTCGAGAGAAACGTATCAGCCGCCTGGGTTGCAGACGGAAAAATGAGTCGGCGGTCATTCATTCAGAGCAGAGTTGCAAAAACAATATCTAGGAGCGGTGGCAGTGAACAACGGTATGTAACAGCGGTGACGCCGGTAACACTGAAAATAACAATAACACGGTAGCAATCGGGTTGCTGGTAAGAGTTGATTGACATGGTTGATCATTTCATCATTCAACGCAAATCTTCGCGTGGTAAGACAGTAACACTAGTAAGGTGTGACAGCGCACCATGAGTTCGAGTAACCCATGACGGTACTCTCACCATGTAAAAACTCGCGCATTATCCGAGCGAAAAAAATGACAGCTCTAAACATTTTCATTTTGTCAATCCTCCACGGCTTCTTTTTTCTCGGACACCATTTCTTACCTCTTTGGAAAAGTCGCCATAGTTTACTAATATCGTACTCGACAATTAACGAAGTCAGATTTTTGCAGGGCACTGAATACTGATAGTCCTGCGAGAAGCGAGTCTTCTTCACGGGCTCAAGAATTTTTGGAGGACTCTCCGCACTCCACTCCAAAGCGGGAGCACAAATCTCTCGAAGATGTGCTGCCGCATACTTCTTCGAATCCGCTTATTAGCGCACTTTTGGTAAGTTTTGGCATGGAAATAAAGTCACTTAAATTAGCAAAATCTAAATATACTCTACTTATTCGCTTCACATTTTTGTAGATTACATGCACATGTCTACAGGTAGGAGGTAGGGAAGAGGGGAGAGGGGGGAGTAGAAGTAGCAGCTTCATATTTTATATCTCTCTCTATTCTTTCATTTTTTCCCACTATCTATTTGAGTTATCGCAGCGTCTCAGAATCTCTGATATACGATAGTATTTCCAGGATAGAAAGACAGAGGATGAAGCGAAGCCTGAGGATGAAGAACAGCACAACGAATGGGTTACAAGTGATGTTCCTGATTTTTGTAAGTTGTTGTCCCACTGATTTCCTTGTTCAGTGTTCTTATAGTTTCGGTATGTGGGTGTGGATTATGAGTAGGGCTTGAGTTTGGAATGTACAGTTATTTTTCTTGCTTTACTGAACTCCATTTCAGCTTCTGCTGGTGTTGCCACACAAAATGATCAAGGGGACTCCAGCGGTTTCCCTTCTAGCAGTGAGTTTATATTAACTTGCAAGTTTTACTCTGGCTTCTTCCAATCATGGATTTTCTAGTGTTCTCCGTACCACCACCAACGATCAACCCATATGCTGCGCTTCCACAACACATCTTGTCTGAAATTACGGCCGGACTAGCAGTTGCTCCTCCATCATCGTTCCAGGTTGGTAGGCTCTTTGGTTATAGGGAATTACTATGACGAAGGCTGATATACATGTTTTTTGGAATCCGACACCATAAACGCCAAGCAAGCTGAAAGTTGTAGCGAGTTCAGCGATTGTTGAGGAAACACAATGTTCTTCTGCGCGATAGCATCGTGAATGCGCGTTGTTTCTATTTTGCACATCGCAGCATGACCTTCTCTTGCACTTTATTCAAGCTTTGAGAGTTTCAGGTCCCACCTCCTAACATGCTAGCTAGCATACCACCCCATATGGCTGGTTACGCAAACCAAGGTGAATAATTTTTTAATAATAGAAATAGGTTTTTTTTACTGACTTTCTCATAGGAGTCATCGCAAATGGTCCAGGTGCAGCATTGGCGGCGTTAGTTTTTTTTCTTAACAGTTTACATCATTTTATAGTTTCCTCTTTTTTGAAGTGAAATTTTTTGTAGATTAATTCACTTTTGATGCAATTGCAGATCTTTGATGCCTCTAACTAAAATAACAGTGGATCGTGAGAAGGACATGATTCCCAGGACACCAACACCTCGTTAGTTTCTTCTCTTCGAAGCTTTTGAACATGAACGTGTATCAATTTTAGCTCCAACTCCACCCACTCGGATAAACCTACGATTACAGCCAGGAGCAATGGGTGAATATCTGTTTTTTTTGAAGATATTCTTTTACTTTTCTGTTATTTTTTAAATAATTTGATATGTTAGGGTGTTCTGTTGGTAGAATGTTCATGTGATTACTTATATGCGTATGTTATTTTCAGTGCCAGCTTTGAGTGCAACCGGACGTCTAATCATGCCAGGTGCTCGAGTGGTATCAAAGTATGTTCATTCAAGCGTTGTGTTGTGTTTGGTCGTTCAAACTCACCTTTCTAGGAGACGTCCGCTAAGTCCTATGCAGATGAGTGTTGGTGAAAGTGCCGAAAGTGGAGAAATTCGAAGTGAAAAAGGAGACAAAACGCCGGTGGTGAGCCATCTTCGATTTTTCCTACGTCATATCTTATACGAATTTTTTCTTGCAGAAAAGAGCTGTCGATCGTTCCAAAGAGATGAATGATGCAAGGAGGTTTGTTTTGAATTAATGTCAATGGCAAAGCCTGTCATTTTCAATTTTTCCTTCTTTAGATGCTACATTCGACAATATGCTTTGCGCAACAAAGTCTCCTATGACGAAGCTGAGCGAGTAGTATGTATTGTGAAGATTTATTCAAATTTTCTCCTAAAAGTTTTTGTTTCAGCTTGTTGAAGAAGAAAATGAATTTGAGAATGGTGAGTAATTTTTTTTCTAATTTCACCTTTGTGTGAAGAGCCTTTTCGATTCCAAGGAACGATTGGTGACATCGTCCACTTAGGTTTTCGAGATTTTGATACGTTTAATAGACGACCCCCAAAAGTGATTCCCAAGTCTCGTTGCCAAAAATAGATTCCGAAGCGAGAATTTTGCGCTTAAAAGGGAAGTGGCAAAGATGACTCCGCAAAACAATGTGAGTGGTCCGAAGATGGTAAGTTTGAAACTTTGGAGTAGATAAAAATTTTGAAATTCTGTCAGTCATGAGCGATCCATGACGCAGATAACCCAATTTTGGGCTTGTTATCTCTAGACCACCCATGTTGATAGGCGGAGCAACCTTGGTCGCTTGTACCTTCTGGAGCAATTTTCTCGCTTTCGAACCGATCTTTTGCAGCAAGATTTGGGCGATTACTTATTTAGGGGCTCCGCTTTTAGCAGTAAAAAATCACCATTCTCAACTTGCGTGGGCAGTGTCTTCAATATGAGACTTCCATATGTGAAAGCATTGTAATCTACTGTCAACTATGCGGAGATTGTAATCCATGCTTTGAAGAAGTCGCGATTTATCAAAATCTTCCAACTGCAAGATTTCGATTTCAGCAAAACGAGCAAAGAGATCTCGTTATGGATCCGAGGATAGAGAAGAAGAAAGGGACTCTTACCGAGACTCTTATATTTATACCAAAGGCTTCGTTCCTTTACCCAAGCAGAAATTTGCGAAAAACTGCGAGGATAGTGACTACGTTGACGAAGATTCACGCGATCCTCTTGATGATTATGATCGAGATGAACCGTGGATGAGAGATGAGAGGATGGCACCGAGGCCAGCGGTGATGAGACTCCCGGGCCCTTACGATGATCGCGACTACCCAGAGCCTTCGTCTGGAAGAGGTGCCGGTTAGTGCAGATGAGACATTTCCGGTAAAGCCATGCATTGAAATTTTTCTAGGACTCCCGCGAGATTTAGGCAGACCAAAACGACGTGGTGGTGGCCGAGGCAGTTCCGCTCAAGACAGAGAAGAAGGGCGGAGAAGGAGAAAGCGAGGCGGAAAGAAACATAAAAGAGAGAGAAGAGGAGATAATGCTAATTTTGAACCAATAGTTAGAAGGTGGTAATGAATGTTCCAGCTTCACATAGAACTTTTTTAGGGAACCAATTTCCACGGTTGTTTGTTGTGATTTCCCGAATTCGATGTGGAATGCAGTTTGTACCATCTAATAATTAAAATCGCTATATATCAGTTTCTAATAAATATGCAGCTTAATATCTTGATTGTTGGCAACACATTCACGACAATACGGCCCACCGGTGGGTCGTACGTGTTCTGCCGTTTCGGATAATACGACCCACCGGTGGGTCCTAAGATCCGAAGCTCTAGTTCTGTCAGTATACGATTCTACGGGGTTCTGGCACATGAATGGGGACACCTTGGCGAAGCTCCAGCCAGAGTGGTCCAGGTTCGGGATACTGTAAAGTAATGTTACGGTAGGTATACCGTAGATAGAGGTAGGGCACAGACTTCAGCTCAAATTTTTCGCAAAATGGTGCTGTTATTACTAATTCAAGTTTACATGCACGAGAATACAGGGAGGGCACGAGACTGATGTCAGATCATCAAAAATTATCGATTTTATTGATTATATTGATTTTTCGCATTGCTCATCCCAGGAAGCTCTCAATTGCTAATACCATCTTCTTACATCAGTTTCTTGATTCTTACGAACCCATTGTGAGAAAGTAGTGAACAAAGTGGACACTGTAATCGTGATCAGCACGTGAAATAACCCCAAAACGCAATTTTTTATGAAAATCCATGATGTTGGGTTCGTACACAATGACTACCGTATCTTTACTGTATACTGCCAAAAACTGTAATTCTTACATATAAAGCTGAATGTGTGTATGATGTATGCATGTATGTCTGTACGTATGTGCGGAATAGAAATTTCTATTTCTGAACCGATTTGGACCAAACTTGGCACACATTACTTCGGGGCGGGGAGCGAGTCATACTTTTCGTCATCGATCGTTATCGATTTTATCGATTTTTATCGACTTTTTTGCAGAGATCACCTACGGGGCTGGGAGTTGGCACAGTGTGGTAAGTGGGCATGTGGATTCCGAATACAATATTAGTTTTGAGAATTATCGATTACTTTTATCGATTTTATCGATTTTTTGCAAAGTTTGAGCTACGGGGCTGGGAGTTGGCACAGGGGGGTAAGCGAACATGCTGATTACGCATATGATAACCATCTTCAAGAATGCCCATTGCTTTTATCATTTAATCGATTTTTGCAAATTCTGAACTACGGAGCTGGGAGTTGGCACAGGGGGAAGCGAACATGCTGATTACGAATACAATATTAGTTTTTAGAATTATCAGTTACTTTTATCATTCTATCGATTTTTTGCAAAGTTTGAGCTGCAGGGCTGGGAGTTGGCACAGGGGAGTAAGTGGGCATGCTGATTTCGAAAACAGCACAGGGAACGGGAAAGGAAGTGTAGAAGTGGGCACAGGGAAAGGCTGTGCAGGGATAGGGATGGGACCTTTATTACAGTGTGTTTTGACAGGCCCGAGCGGAGCCGGGTAAGCAAGCTAGTAAATCATATTTTCGTAATCAGCGCTTCGATAACCCTTGTGGGGAAATTCTCGGAGACATGCTTTGAATTTCTTCCAATAGACTACCATTTCGGACAATACGACCCACGGGTGGGTCGTAATTTTGGCAAAGCGAAAAAGGCTCTAGTCCGAAACGGCAGTAATCGAAAAATCGGCCTTGTCGTAAATGTGTTAACATTTGCGAGAAGCTTGCCCAATGTGAGAAATGAGAGATGAAGTTAGGTTGTTGTGGGTACCAAAATCGGGTTTGAAGCGCTTGCATTGCCAAGCGCAAATGAGGCCAGTGTCAAGCTCAGAGCAAATTTGTGACACTTCTAAACACTACGTCCACGTTTCGACACCTTTATCTGTAGGCCACCTACGTTGATGGGCGGATTCGAGTACCGTATTGACAGTTGAGTTTACTGTACCTCATTTGCTATAGCATAGTACTGAGTCCGTATACAGTGCGTCCGGAAGTCCAATTACCTCGAGCATGTAAAGAAAAAGGCTTGTGAGTTGGTAAAGGAAAATATGAAACCAGCGTCTTGACCTGCTTCCAATTAAAATCCTGCAAAGTCAACTCTACTCATTGTCAGTGTTTTCCGCTTAAGGAACACAATACTCGGATTTGTTAAAGTAGGATTGTGAAACTGACGCCAAAGGACTAGGGTTTTTTGTGAAGGCATTGTTTATGTATAGATGTTATTGGTTTCTGGTTTTCTCAGTGAAAACCACTTGCGGACCCCACCAGAAAATTCAACTACGAATTTTGGCTTCTACTTCTCTTCTACTTCTAGCTCGAACGGTACTTACCGTACTTCAGGACCCTCGCCGTTCGGCAGGGAGGGAGTACTGTCTGTGCTGGGGTTTGGGCTCACAAAAACCCAAAATAGCGCAATACTTAGATTCGCCTAGGCACTGTTCAATAGATGAATTTTCACCACACCACGCTCATTGCAATCGAACCAGCAAATTGTGTGAAACATCCACAACTTTTTCGAGAAAACCGTTTACATAATGAAAACAGCCTTGAATCAGCCTTTCAAGGCACATTTTAGTTCTTTGGTGGCCAAGGTTATAACAGTTGCTTTGGTGGGAGTGATACAACAATATCCCTTCCGCTTGCCTGCGCCTATATTTTTTCAAGATCTTCCTTTACCGATATAAAGTCCAAGTACATCAATGATTGAAATGTCGACTGTTATCGGCAAATCAAGTCCGTGAAGGCTGAGATCACTCACAGCTGGTTTTGATAGCACAATCTAGCCGCTGCGCACAACACAGTTTCACTTTATCGTGTGATGTTTCTGCAGAGATTTATGGCTATGTGATAATAAATGTATTCTTAGACGTGACAGGTTTCGCATTCATTTGAGGTATTCAGCACCCAGAAGACTAAATGCTATTATTTACTGTGTTCTGCTTTGCCCTTCTTGCGCAAGTAGAATCTCAAGCAAGGGATGGATCAGCTGCAGGGAGCAGGTCAGGCACTTTCTCAATTTATCTAATTTACTACATCTAATTCTGTAAGTTTCAGTCCTGGATGTCATTACAAGATATTTCTGATTTTGAAAGGACCACATTATGATTTCTGATATTGAAATGATCTGATTATACGTGTTAAAAAAGATACAAAACGAAAGATATCGATTGAGAAAAAACTATTCTGCATACGCAAAGATCAACACATTTTTATTTTTTTAAGCTCAGAGAAAGAGAATATGGCAGAACTCAAAAATTAAAAATACAGTTCCGACACGGGCCATGCAAAGGTAATCTCATTTTTCTTCTCTCTTTCTCCCATGCTTTTCGAACTAGTCATTTTTTTTTCGGTTCACTTCATTTCGCATCAACACATTATAGACAAAAAGTGCAGAATCAAAATTGCCTCAATCCTTACCTTCATAAATTCAAAAGAACTTTTCAGAGCACATCACTTGAGCGAAGCGCGAATATTCGATTTGCCCAAAGCTGCCCCTACTGCTCGAATTATCAAATTATCCACATTACTTCGTAAAGGAAAACGAAGCGGTGGAGATGACGATCTATTGAGAGATGCGGTAAGTTCTCGTGCTTTCCGAGTTTGAAAGACCCACGGAGCTATAGTGTTTGCTGTGATAAAGCCCCTATCCTACCCCAAATTTGATTTTGAACTTCTCAGAACATCACAGGGAAGCATTAGTTAACATCTCTCATAAATTTGACACGCATTTTGCATGTAGCTCTGCCCCCCCCCTCCCCACTTGCTTACTGTGGATACGTGACTAGGTCAGAAATACTTATATTTGTGGAACACTATCTAGAAAATTTAGACCTCACCTGCTTGGGACACCTTCCAATATCCTAAGAGATGACAAAATCTTTCCTAAACAAAAAAGCACGAAATGATGTACGCAGTCTCAAGCTTGTCATCCTAAAATTTCATAGATCGGTAGAAATTTTTTTCATCAAATCCATCAAACTCCGTGTGTTAGCAAATTAAAAATAGTTCGATAATCTAATAATAGAATAATATCACATAATTTACTATACTATATATAGAAGCTACTCTTTGCAAAAATGTCTCCCGCTAAAAGCTCCTGACAATGAGCTTTTTCCTCCCATGAGGCCGAAGCTTGTTCACTGTTTGAGGAAAACCGAAGGTATTCCTTGTCGAAAAATTTTTTTGCTGGTAGTATTTTTTCTTCCGCGAGACCAAGGCTCCCTCACTACTCTTTTTAGGGCCATCATACCGTAGACGCATAATTTGATACTGCTTATGTAGATAGACACTTTGGTCGCGCGACACATTGTCTAGGGGCAGGGGGGGGGATTACCCAGGGCTCGGCACGAGGTGGCTAGATGAAAATGGAAAAAACGAAGTCCCCCTTGACTTTTGGGAATTTTTACGAAGTTCCCTTTGACCCTGAACCAAATTTCTTCTAAAAACCTGAAAAATTCCCGAAAATCCCCCAAAAAACGAAACGTCGACTAAAAAAAAAGGTCGCCGTCGTCAATTTTCCGTATGTCTTCGCTCACAAAAACGAAACCCCCTTTGGTTTTCGTCCCAAAAACGATATCCAGCTTGCTTGTAAGCCACCTGTGCCGAGCCCTGGGATTACCTAATAACTATACAAAAAAATCCTCGCTTCAAATTAGCTATATCAGAATCGTAATCTTGTTGTATACTAGACAAATTCCCTAGTTAATTTTTAAGCATATTTGTCTTAGACTAATCTACCGTAATCCACATGCCATGTAACGTCTGATTTGCCCCTGTTTTTGTTTGTGTACGTTTACTGTTTTCATTTTTTAGGCCGGTCCATTCGACAACTTCGATGCGTTTGATCTAGACACACTTGAGCCGTCGTCGGCAGAGGCAAAGCCATCAAGAAAGCACCATAAGACAGATCGGAAAAACAAAAACGAACGAAGTGAAGAGATCGGCAATTTCTTTCCAGAAGGCAGATAACTATTAATTCGTAGTTTGTATACTTCTAATCTTGATTTATGAGAAAATAGAAAAATATTCGTTACACCGAACTTGACAATGAGGTTACCGAGAGTATTTATCGCAGAATTCGCTTCGCATTGAGTCAGAATCTCAGAAAATATCCAGAAATAGCTGAAACGCTTTCACCAGCATCGACTCGACTTTGCGACAATTTAAAATTGAGGACGATCTTTGTGAGAACTTAGTATCTATAAATCCTAGTAACAAATGGCTTTTTTTAGGACATATTTCCTAACAGTTACGAACTAAGGTTTTTTATTGCACATAAAAAATTGTATTTTCGCTTGACACTCTAGAAATCTTTTCTTTACATTTTGGAACGAGTCAACCAAGGATGTGCTTGTGCTTTACGTTCAGAATCCGTCGAGATGATGACATTGATGAGGCTCGGACCATTTTTCTTCTCGAATGCCTAGAGATTCTTTTATAACATTTTTGTGAGTTTATTCTACACAGGCTTGCCTTATGTAGTGCATCCTTAATTTCTGGGACAGTTTTCACCAAGTAGCCATCTCCACCAAGTGCCTTGCACATGTCATCATATCGGCATTCGGGTGAGAGTGATAGCACTGGATATCTAAATTAACAGTTATTTTTAGTATATAGGACAAATGAGGCGACCTACAATAACGTTGGATCGCCTTCAACAGCGTTCATATCTTCTGGCAACATGCCACGATAGATTCCGCTGTTGTTCAGAACTACGGTCACAACAGGGAGTTTGTACCTGAAAAGCGCAGTAGTTTCGGAAAAGAACAATGTCTACGAAAGTGGAATTGGAGTAGTTTTTGAACTGGATCAGAATTTTCGAGTGATGGATCTGGAGCGAAGAATCTCGGAAAAGTAATAAAAATTTATTTTGAGTTTGAAAATTGAATTTATTTCCTACCAAGAGTCTGGTGGGTGTTTACACAATTAAACTACTATAATTATGGATTTTCCCGTTTCTCCGTAAGGCCTTGTATGTAGACGACAGCAAACCATTGATATCCGAATCCAAAAAAATCCATTTTTGTTGACATAGTGAACTACTGACTATGGAACAGGATAACCACCAGATTCGGTAGAAATAACAATAAACAAAAGTTAATAATATTTTATGGATGAAAATGTTTGGAGAGGATATCCATCGAGCTCAAAATTTTTTTTGGTTGGTACTGTGTATCCATGATATAATCGCTAGCTGAGAGCCTTTATTAGCGCGTGACACACTTGAGTAAGAAACGCTTTTTACCAAAAAGACTACTTCAAAACTGCCTCTTTAATAATCCTACGAAAGTTCCCGCGCCTGTTTAAAGCTTTAGAGCTTTAAACAGGCGGAGAAGTGGAGAGAAGTGGAATGAAGAAGAGAAGAAGAGAGAAGTGGAGAGAAGAATGGAGAGAAGTGCAATCTATCGAGATGTTAAATGTTGGGTAAATGCACAATGTGCAGAGCACATTTTACCTAGCGATAGTCTCAATCTCCATTCCGGAAAAACCAAACGCACTATCGCCTTGAACCACCAGCACTCTTGTTGTTGGTGAGTGGTCTCGACAGTACAGTGCTGCAGCCAGCGCATAGCCCTGTCCCACTCCCATGGTTCCTGCAAAGAGATTTGATACGAAATTTATAGAAAAGTGAAAGCTCGCATTACCCACCAAACGTTCCAGCATCCAGACGTCTTCTCGGCAACGTAGATGGCATCATGGTCCGTCCTATATCCATCGTATTTGCTCCCTCATTCACCACAATTACATCGTTTCTTGCGAGGAATTCGCGAATCTCAAATATGAAAAATCAACCTTAACAATCGATTTTGGAACTCGAACCTACGGGTGTGTAAGCTGCATAGTAGTTAAGTGGAGTAGAGTGATCGTTGGCCATCTGCTCGACAACATTCCTTGAAAAATTCTTTTCAAAATGAAGGTGATTCGCAAATTGCACGATGATGTAGACCTGTTTTTGTCACCGTTTGCTAAGAGATCGGTCATCCACTTCTCCTTTTGTGGATAGCGCCATTCGTCCAGTTGCACAATCATCTACGAAAAGACATATTAAGTCAATCGCCGTAGGCGAGAAAGAGAAGAGGAAAATAAGGATTTGCTCGTGTGCAGATTTGTCTCGATCCTTTGGCTTGAACTGGTGACAACAAAAACAAAAAAAGGCAAAAAAATGAGATAGCAGCGCTACGAATAGCCAGTTTTGAACCTCTTATTACTTTGAATTTTGAAGTTTTTGCTTTATCCTGCAGGAACTGTTTCTATGCAATCAAAATTTCCGAGAAACAGGATAACCTTTTGACAAGAAGCTTTTGCTACAACAATACCATTTTTTTCAATTCAAACTAAACGGATGTGGAATCAAAACTCAGGCAATTTAGAAATCATACCGAGCTAAGCGTTTCTCCAATATCTCCCAGTAGGGGGACTGTAGTTGGCAAGTTTTGATGAAATTCTTCTGGCGAAAGATCGATCTAAAAGTATGTTTGCTTATAATTCTGTGAAAATTGAGACAAGATATTATTTTTTATATCCAACCTGTACTACTTTAACGTCTTTATTGAGCCTTGGTGGTAAGCCGAAATGTAACATCCAGTTCAATCTTGCACCAATGAGAATGATGCAGTCAGCTTCACGAAGTGCAAAGGAGCGAGCAGGAGCGACACAGCTAAAACGGGCAGGGTCCAGACACAACTCATGGACACTTATTCGCTTTTTTTTTGAATGGGAGGAACTATCCCAGTGGGCGAAGCTATCCACTTTCGTAGGTTTGATTTTGTAGTTGACGTATTCAATCAACTACGAAATCGAAACTGCGAACTGCGAAAGGATCTTCGGTTGCAATGAAGCTTTATTTGTTTTCAGCGATGAGCACTTTCAGAACGTTTCATAATTGATCTTACGAATGTTGAGATTCTTTGAATTTAACTTCGTGTAGATTGATGACTTGATGTAGTTTTATTGGGCACATCGAGTAACTCAAAATACTGAGCGGTGAAAAGTGAAAGTTGATTATAAAAAAAACTGATTATTCAAAGGAAAACAAAAAGGAATATTCTACCGTGGGTGATTGTCGGAGCAAATTCCTTTACCACCAGGTGTTGCCAGCCATGGTAGTCCACTCTTGGTGAGAAACTGCTGCACCATAATCGGTCCACGTTCCGACCATGCTGCGCCTGTAAATGAATCAATTGAACTTATACAATTTTTATTCTTTTTATTGGTAAGATCATAGGACTCTTCGTCTGGGACCATTACACATGGTGCATATACGATAGGAAAAAAGTCATGTAAGACTATGTAAACAGTAGATGCTGGGATAGCAAGAGGCATGTTTCTGTTTCTTGCAAAACTTCTTAAAAAAAGAAGTCAAAATTAGTCCATCCTTGCTCAACACCAGAAACGACCATACCAAGGCTAACGGACAGGGCCGAGAGCTTGGCATACGGGACACAGGCATTCTTTTAGAAAAGTTTCTCTTTGCAAAAAATAAGAACAAAGGGATCAAATTTTTGTTTGCAATAGTTACAGTGAAATTTGAGGAAAATTTGACTCTTTTACAAAAATCAGCAACTCGCATAAGTGCTAAGAGCTAGAGATTTTTTACGTAAAGAACGCTTATCGTACCTTTACCAACAATAACAAGAGGTCTTTGCGAATGCTTGATGGTTTCGATAGCTCTCTGCACAACTTCCACAGGCGGAAGGCTGACTGGTGGTGGTAGTGGCACTTTGGCCACTTTTCTGTAGAACGAGATTTGAATTTGTTTCAATGACCAATCTCTGGCCTTACGGTATCTCCTCCTCTTCGATTGTAGACAAGACTAGATTGCCAGGCATGTCGAGGTATACAGCTCCAGGACGACCATACATGCATTCCCTAACAGCCTGGAAAATAATGAACAGTTGCAAGTAAACTTCCATTTTCTTGCAGGATCAATCGGGAATTAATCTCAAAGGCTAGAAAAAGCAACCGACCTTCTCGACGTGCAATGGGATGGCTTGCAACGTAGTCGGGCGACTAACGTGCTTACAGGAGAGACGAGCGGATTCCACTTGTGGCCATTCTTGGAACGCTCCTCTGTTCTCTTGATCAACGTCGGATGAGCCACCAATGCAGATCACTGGCCTAAAGGGACTCCTATTACATATAAAGACTGCTAAGTCCACGGATCTTTGAAGCAGTTTTGAGCAAAAAGTCAGGGAGAATTTTCGGCCAATTCCCTTTATGTCAAACTGAACTCCATTGCCGCACTCAGAGAGAATGTAAATGTCAGAAAGACGATTTCTCTCCCCTTCGGAGGGATCTGGACCAATTATACAATATGGTCTCGACAGGCCTGTGCAATGTGGGACACTTCGCGCGAGATACTGTAGCCCAGGACTTTTGCGCCCTTTATTTATCATACTGGGGGGCTACAGCACTTGGGATGTATCTGATCGCATGGCTCAATCTCAAGCTTTTTTCTAGTCTCTACGTGCCTCGCCAATACATCCTCTTCATGAACCCTTTGAAGTTTCACGAGTTTATCTTGCAGCTGCCTTTTGAACCTTTTAAAACCCGTCAGCCTCACTGCCTTTCAAATTGATAATGGCAAAATGACTGACCAGCAGTTCACAGTGGCGTTCGCGAGACCACCGATGGCATGGAGAAGACCTGGTCCAGACACAACCAAACACACAGCAGGCTTCCTTGTCAAGTATCCCATAGCTTGTGCTGCGTAGCAAGCCTGTATTAGTAAAGACGTGAATTCAAGAATTTAGCGATTCAAAATTTTTATGATCAATTGGGCTGGCTCAACAAGTCCAGACATTTTGCATTTCCACTTTTGATCGACGACATGTTATTTTTTTGCGATCAGATCTATATTTTTTGCATAATCGGCTAAAGATATGTGTTAAAAATTCAATTTTTGAAAACTCGAAAATGAGTTAACAGCAGAAGTAGCTGTCCAGTTGATTTCAAATCCATGACGTAATCAAGCACAATTTACAAAAACGAGATTGAAAATGCAGGAGTCTGACATCCATACAGAAATTTCTAAAGCTCTGAAAATCTTAAAAGAAACGCAAAGCACTCATTTTTTGCAAATAATGTATCACGCAGTTCTCAATCTACTTTTCTCAGGTAACAGTTCTAGAATGTTGATCAACATTTTCGCTAGTAAAAAAAATAAGAGTATTGCAGAGAAACGACGAATTCAAGCAGGTGTTTGACTAATAGTAGAATAGTAAATTTTTTTTCGTAACCTTGAGAGGCACTGCGGTTAGTACGTGGAAAAAATGAAAAATTTTCCACATAGTAAATGAAAGAATTTTCTAAATTGACGCAAATGTTCTGGCTAGGAAACTAATTTATAGACAAAACCCCTATTTTCAAAAACCTACCGCTTGCTCATTTCTACATCCAACATATTTGATTCCATGCGCCTGCGCTGCCATACCAACTTCTATAATCGGAAAGCCAACCACTCCAAACATGTACTCGACGCCCTAGAAATTTTACTTACTCAAGATCATCGTTTTTATTCGAATTTACAAACCTGCTCCTTGAGGCATTTTGCGAGAACGCTGGCACCATCCATCGTGGACAAGGTTCGCGAAAAGTTGGCTGATTGATAGCCAAGCGAAGCGGCAACATTCTAGCCTTATCAGGTAGTCCAAACAACAAAGACAGCCCAGTATCGACTATTCGACAACCTGACCTTCACTCTACAGATCGATCGGTGAACAGAAGTCTTGTGCAGGAAATGAGCGATAACTCAGGGCATTTGTTGGAACAGTTGCTAACTTCGAGAAATGTTCCGTAACTGGTTTGTTTAGTAAACGTGAGATAGACGAGAAACAAAAATCATTTTGAGCGATGTCTTAGTTTGTAAAGATGATGAAGCATTCTGTATCTCTTTGTTTCCTTCAGTATATTTTTACGCTAGACCCCCCAAAGTATTAATCTCATTTTATGAAAAGGCAAAGACGGAGACTGGTTTGCTGATTTCTGTTATTTATTCAGGGCAGTATAGAGCTGTAGCTGGATTAGCTGGATACCTCTCCAAAATTGTTGACGTACAATCTCCTTCCAAAGGGCTGGTAGAGGTATTCTATTCTGTCTGTGAGATAGGTTTTGATCGATGTAAAATTTTTATGAACTTTGCTCAGAAAATGGTCCTTTATACCATCAAACAGTTCATCCTGGAAGTTTTTTCAGCACCCTCAAGTTTGAACGGGAAATACTTCTCCTAAGGTTAATTTTTTTCCGCATCGAAAACTGCATTCAGGGCAATTCTGTCGACGCCACAACAGCGATTTCTTTTGATGGAGAAGAACATTGCATTGAATATCTGAAGGTTTGTTAATTTTGCTCTCTTCACATGAGTCGCATCGAGAGCATATATAGCTACTGAAAGGGAGAGATTGTGCATCTGTTACAACCAGTTATCTCTACATAACGATTTACGGATGGGTTCTGAAAACTGACACTTTTGCACCGATCTAATATATTCATCGCCCTCGAAACTTTACGTGCTTGGGACCATTATCCGATTACAAACCTACTCTAATAGGCTCATAGCGAAAACTCAGGTACCATTCATCAAAGCATATCGGTGAGAGTTGGCTGCGTAAAAGATATCCATAGCCAACTGAAGCGACAGTCTTACCAAGTAGGTAGAACAACTAATCGTGTTGGAGTCTATTAATCGACAGTGAACTTCAATTTGCGGATCAAGTCATGACCAAAAACAACGAAACGACATACAACCAGTTACGTTGCTTTCAAAGAAGATTTTAACGTCGTAGCAGACAAACGCGAACTGCTTACCAGTTCAGTACGATATAGCTGATTCCAGCATTCACATAAATGCAGTATATGCAACCCATTATTTTTATCTGATCTACTGACAGTGCAGATTTAGGCTTGCACCACAAGCGACTGAAGAAAACAGCACCAAAGGGCTAGCTGACCAGTAGTAGAGGTCTTTTCCATCTGCCTAGCCAAAAAGGATATATTGCAGATAACTTTGTTAAGTCACCCAATTAGCAAAGCTTCCCTTAGCTTTCCTTTCGTTCCTTGCGCTAGAATTTCATTCTCAGGACGTTATCAACATTAGTGAAGAAACGCCTGGATTAGATTACTAAGTTTACCCTTACGTTCCTGGCCAGCCATCAGGTTGTAACACAAATATTTTGAGGCAATGTGGATGATTTGTGATAAGTCAACAGAAAGTTGGCTGTAAAGGGACCGCTGTAAATGATTGGCTTTCTAGTTGAGCTTTTGACGCACCATTAAATCTAGAATGGAAATTAGTCACATACTGAAATTCAAAAACTTGAACTTGCCCATTTCATAAGTCGAAGTATAGCATATTATCATCTTACAGCATGCAGTGACTTACAAAGTGTGGAATAGCTGATTGAGAAGTGATACTTTTCCGTAATTACCATGCTCACATACCCTCTCTGCCAATTGGAACAGGGCGCAGAACTAAAAGCAATAAGTCGATAATCCCAATAGATAATCTTTGGTGAAAATGCTAAATGACACTCGTTCCGCCCTAAAGTATTTTGGCAAAGTATGGTGCAGGAATCGTGATTCTGTTGATCATTAGGCGGGCCTTGAATGAGGCGTATAGTCAAATATACAGAGTGGTCGTTGATAAATCTCTTGCCACGATATCTTTGATCACACTTCAAGAATCCTTCTGTAGGGCTGGCTTAAGCTCATATTTGCGTTATAGAGCGAATCACGTCTTCATTACTGTACGATTACGGTAGGAACTTCGGACTGGATTTCAGGCCATTACAGGTCATATTTTCTCTTAGGAAGAAAACCAAACAAATCAAAAACTGTTGTATCAAACTAATCAAAGTTGTGCTAATTTTGGATATGATTCCGAATCTGATTTTGAAAATGTAATAACTGATGCTTTTTTCTTAAGTTATCCCAGGTAAACCGTGACAGCTTTTCCAACATGTGTCAGGAATTGGTTACACCGTCAAAAAGGCTGAAAACTCTCGTGAAAAGTTCTGTGGTGAAATCTGAACCAAAAACCTAAAACTCTTAGTACACACTTTCGCACATTTTTAGAAAAGTTTTCTAAACTTCTTTCAAAATGGTTCTGTATGCTGCAAGTTCTTACCGTAATCCTACAGTAACGAAGAATGATCGGTGATTTGCTCCATATTGCAAAACTGTTGAAGCAAGCACTACAAAATGGTACCTAAAGATCGTCGAAAGAGATCAAAGCAAACGAGTGATCAACGACCAAACAGTGTGCACAAAATTTTAGAGACCCTGTATATAAGTTCGACTGATAAATAGGCTTTTGATGTAAACTTGCATTTATATTCACTAGCAGAGGAAATACGATGTATGACCAAAGCTACTATTCGTGAAAATCGGTCTTATGTCTTCTTCACAGCCTCTCCACAGCATCATTGAAATGCAGCTCCACTGACAGCATGAAATTCGCATTTGTCCCTGAAACTCCTCATTGTCCCTTGCTGGCTCGTTTTTCGCCAGCATTGTTCGACGCGACAATCGTCACCAGCTCCCCCTGGTGGTTGTTTGTGTCAAAAAGCGCTCGTCAGAGTCGGCGAATTAACACTTTTCCGTCTTTTCAGCCCCCTGGGGAAGGGAGATATATGACAATGTTGACATGCTTGCGTTGTCGCCAGTCAATGGAGACGATACATCGTCAGGGTTAGGCAAACTTCGTTCGTCTTTAGAAGAGTTCTCTTGGCGTTCCACTCTCGAAAATGGCGAGCGCATGAGGGCAGCGCGCGTGGCAGTCCTCCGGGAGGGTGTTCGCATTATCAGTGTTCGCAATCTACTCACTAATACCATTAGGTGTTTGATTCGAAGCGCCCTCAAATCCGCGAAATCTGCGCGCATTTGTCCGGCTGTCAGAGCGGCCGCGCAGACAGCACACCGGCGGCGGACACGCAGACCGCACGCTCCCGAGACAGTGCACCGCCGCCGGAGCGCGCAGACGGCGACAAGTGCCATTCGTCTTGATTAATTTTAATAGATATATCAGTCGCTTGTGAGAGCTTACAAATTGTCGCGTTATGTGCGCATGCGGCGACGCTGAGCGCCAGCAAAAGCTGCGCCGAAGAAGTGACAAATAGAGTGGATCAACGCGGCCACGGCAATGTGCTCGTGCGAACTCCTCCACGCCGGGGATACTGTAGGTGTTTATGAGCTGAAGTATGCGGCTAACGAGCGTTCTAGTAACGGGCTCGTCAACTGGGGCATTTGTCTCATATTGCTTGAGCCCAAACCAATGATGCTGTTGATAGGACAATAGGGAAGGGGGGGGGCGGGAATAGAAAATTTGTCTGGACTGATTTCTTCATTCATCTCGGCAGCAGAAACCGAAGTCGGAATGATAACTGACTGAAAGTATTACATTTCCGAAGTGACTTACCTTAATATGTGCGATTGCACACAATATGCAATTTGTGCGTAAAATCGTGAGTGATTTATATCATGGGGCGCATTTTTTCTTTCTAATAAATTCTATTCCACGACTTCTCTGTTTTGAATTGATAGAATACAGGGATATTTGATCTAATAAAGCTGATAACTAGTTAATAAAGCTAATAAGCTGATAACAAATAATTTAAAGCTGCGCACGATAACAGCCAACAAAACTCATCGACGCGCTATGTGCATACTGTGTGCGGTCACAGAATTAGCTGCAAGCCTCTTAAACTGTTCCACAACTTCCCGCCTATGGATAGAAGTGGTAATAGCCGTAAAGTCTTTGTTGGTTATTTTAGCAAAAAATAAAAAAAAATTTTTTCATGAAGTCAAGCACTTTAAGATTACCTTCTTACTTTAGGACAAAGAGAGCTCTGTCCAATTCTCAAAATCCCAGACTGTCTTTTCTCATCACCCTTTCCCTTAAGAGATTTCCGATTCGTCTAATCATATTCGATCAGGCTCCCATGTGCGCGCTACAGAAGGCGTGCAATACGGCGCGGCGGCGGCGGCGGCGGCGTAGTTAGAATCAGGTGATAAAATGATATTTTACGGGCGTAACGACCTCGTAGCGGGTGTCATCCAATTATGAGAATCACGTCCACACGGGGGATTCGCGTTTTCTTCTTCTTCGTTCTTCTTTCTGAGTGCAGTCGCGGCCGGTCGACGGTCATAAACCCAACGCACTACGCCGACTCGCGATGAGCAAAAACGCGCGCCGCCGCGCACTCGCGCACTCGTACACAACGAGCGTGGGATCATATCACGCCGCGCACATTACCGTAAGCCATGTGCGCATAGTGTGCGCGGCGGAGGGGCGCGCATTTTGTACGTAAATCACACTTGATGTGCGAGTTTGCCGTCTCATTAGCGCAAGCAAAACCACTTTGATACAGTGTGATGCGTGGAATGTGGCGCTACTGGTGCTATGATACGTAATCGTCTGTACGATACGGGGAGGAAGGGGGGGGGGGGGAGGTGGAGGAGCTTAGAACTTGTTCAACGATCATAATGTAGTGCCTTTGAAAAACCTTGAAATTTCCCCTTCTCTTTACCCTAGCCCATCGCTTTCCCCCGCCAAGCTCCCTCGGAGCACAAAATATCAGGCAAGGCGGCAGCGATTTGCACCCCATATCTCTCTCGGATCGACAGAGTCGTGGTGGTGTGTGTATGTGAATAGTGGAAGTATTCCATCATCCTGTCGCCCAATAACCGCGACGCGTTATCGCCACCACAATCGCATCGCGCACTCCCGTTTCGAGTCGCGACACGATGCCGCCGCGATCGACGACGACATCACACACAGCACGGCAGCAGCAGAAGCCGAAATCTATTCATGTGACATGCTAATTCGGCAATCTGATAGGCATCTCTCTCGATTGCGATGGAATCGCAGCGAAATGGTTGTCCGGACATGTGCGAATGCAAGCTTTGAGGATTTGTGCGGATTTGCAAATGACGAATCATCTCATAAATCAAGAAACGAAATAATCAGGTGGAGAGAAGATGAGGAGGTGAAGGGTATTGGGATACCTGGGGATTGAAAAATTATCACATTATCTTCATAAGAATAAAACAAGTGATTGCCACATTCACAATAGCTGAAAGTAAACAAAGTTGTCTTCTGGTCCGAGGGTATCGCAGTCTAGCTCAAAAAGATGAAATGTTGCGTATGTAGGGTGAATTTTTGAAAGTGAACATATCCGAGGGGAAGCTGACAACTGACAAGCTGAAAAGTTAGTAATAGAACAACTCTTCAGGCTGCTCTTATCAGACTTTCCTACCTTAGGGTAAAAGAGGAAAGGGGAAATAAGGTAGCATGTAGTAACTTATAAATTCGGTCATAGCAATACCTTGATACTCAAGCAGTAAGTTCATTGATATCCTGGGTATCAGCGGTCGGTAGGATGGAAAAGTGTTAGTCAAATTTCCGTATTTATTTTTTGAAAATAACACATGTCCAAAAGCTGCCCAAAACTCATTCATTTCCTGAATGATGAAATGAAAGTATCATGAATTTTGGTATCAAATCACCACTAGGTTCTTCGAAACTTATTAATCTTTCATACGTTTGATATTGAAAAAAGCAGACGCTATTGTCAATCGGTAACGAAGGTTGCTGAAGGAGCTATGTGCTGTTCGTTTTTCTTGGCTGTGTGATAGAAAACCAGCAATGACTTGGTCTTCCCTTTGCGAAATTTTCCAAAACTCCATAAAACATCTACAGATGAGCATTTCAAATCTCAAATAGGCATTACAACTCAATTTGGGATGGAAAAACGAGTGATAATCAGTGTTCCACTCATTTACAGACTTAATCACGAACAGATCTAGCATTTATTTGATAGTTCCTTGAGGCCACTCCCGTACCCTTGCCTACCTTTACTCTCGTCACAGCACCCAAAAATACGTTCCACTAACCATAATTACCATACAAGGTTTAGTGGTAGTGTCGGCTGGTGCTGGTATTCACCCTAACGCCGTTTATTACCCACTTTGTGTCGTCAACGCTCCGACGACGACGCCGCCGCCGCTGCCTCCTGTGGCGCTACGACGACACGCTCCATTCATTAGCATATGTGCTACAAGATGCCCATTCGCAGGTGGAAATATTCGCGCTGCGAGCAAATCGCACATGGTTTAGTTGGGGATTGTTGAGTTGATGTTTTAGTGAGCGGTGAAGGCATTGGCGCGGTGTCGGGTTGTCTTGCAAAGGATTATCTGGCGATTACTCGAGGGATTATGGGTGGCCAAGAGAGAGAGCGAGAGGCGAGCCGGGTAGAGAGGGTGGCTATTTATGTGTTCAAGTGTGAGTGGTGTGTCTCGAATCGTCAAGGGTGCGACATTTCTCACTTTGCCTGATGTTTTACGGGCAGATATATGGGCAAAGGCGATAAAAGGTATCGACGAGATGATGATGGTAGAGATAAGGTAAGGATGATGGGTATTATCATTAAAGACGTGATGGCAAGAGTTGTTAGTGTAAATGCACACTAACAAACAGTTCTGTGCTTGAAAAGGCAGTTAGAACCATAGAAGAGTGTAACTGTTCACGAGCTACCGTAATCCGGCGCGCGTTCTCACCTGCTTTGCGTTTTTGCGGGTGTTGAAAGAGGGCGTGGCGCGGCGCGCGGATTGGCCGGCGCCGCCTCTTTTTAGCGGCTTCTCCAATCGCGCCGGCGACGACGACCCGATCAGTAACAATGGCGAAGCGTGAGCTGGAGCAGCCGAGCTGTTCGAGCGCCTCCACGGCCGGACGCAGCGCCTCAGGCGCTACGAGCGCCAAACGCGCTCGATTCTCTATCGACACTCTACTCGATGCACGGCCGAGTTCTCCGGAAAGCTCAGACGTCACCCCGTGCCCGTTACCACCACTCGAGTTTGCCGCCGTTGCTGCGAGCAAGGTGAGCACGACGGTGAACGTTGTCAGAGAAGCGTCTAAAGCGCCGCAGAATCAGCTGAAAGGCGACCCTCTGGACGGAATCGAATGTCGTCTGGAAGGAGCTGAACTATGGGAGAAATTCTATGAACTCGGCACTGAGATGATCATCACCAAAAGTGGACGGTGAGTCTTGTTCTATCGTTTATGTCACCTTTTCACTGGAAATTATTTTAACGGGTTCTTTAATAGTACTGATTAAGAGTGTTTTTCTTTGTACTCACTCGAGAACACAATTTTATGGATTTGTTGCCTGAAATGCTTTGAGAAACAAAGTGGAATCTCGCCTAGTTTGCTTACATTTGTTGCTCTTCAAATTTCTTTATTACCATTATTTATCTGTATTTATCAATTACTGGATTTATCAGCTACAAGGGACTATTTTGCTGGTTTAGAATTCATAGCATTATAATTTGTAGTAGTTAAAATGAAAATTACCTCTCTGAAGATTTTGGACTAAAGCCCACCTGTTATTCTTCATATTAGGCCATTATTTTCTCTGACCTTTTACCCATATTTTTGTAAAAACCGGCGCTGAGTTATCTCTCGGACGACGCTTCTATGTCATCCATATAATTCTTTTTTTCTGCCCTTCTGAAATTTTCTCCTCTCCCTTGCCCCGCTCTTCCCGCACAGCTCTCTGAATAGTTTCAATTTTCGTGGGAACATGGCAAAAGGACGATGGGCTCGCGACTCATCAGGATAATGTGGGCCGTCAAAGTGTTAATCACCGTAGCTTCCATTTGCGAAATTTGTTTTCCTGCGCGTTCCTCCATCGAAAAGCACATTTCACTCACTCTACTGATTACATGGCGATGAATGCTCTCAACTGGCTAGAGTCGTCACGAGTGGCGAGGAAAATGTAACTTTTCATGATGTCAGCAGCTGTCCTAAAATGCAGTACGAGCAGGGGAGAAATGCTCAGTGTGTGGAGGGGAAAGGGGACAAAGCAAAGGGCTCCCACTGAAGGATTCGCTAGTCAAAATAATATCGCTGGTAGTGTAATCACCCACTCGTTCTTTTCTTAGAAATAAATCAAGATTTCTAAAGATGCTGCAATTCTTGTCTTTAAAGGGGTAACTTACTCTTTGCCTAATCTGTGACGCTGCAACTTGATATATTTCTTGAGGTATTCTCAAAGCAGCTTAACTTAGACGAAATGATGAAGGTGGATGGCAAATTGAATGCTGGGCGATATGCGGCAATATCTTGAGAAAATTTGATTAAATCTCTCGAAGGAATTTATGTAGCTGTTTCATAATCAAGTCTTACTATGTATTACTTGGGAATGACCTTATTTTGAACTGGGAGTTTGTTTGTACATATTATTTCTTCCGTTTTCCCGACATTTTGTATTTGCCAGCATTGCAGTTTGTGAGACCATAAGCAAAATGTTTCACTAAAATTTTGATGCAATTTATGATTACCAAAAAATGAGCTAGAGTTCGCTTTCAATTCCTTGGATTACAAATGTTATTATTACTGTTTTTTATTGATATCATCCTTTGACTAAAAGAACATCAGATGAAATTTTCTAATGTGGCTTTGCAGCGCATTTGTTCGAATAAGCATTGGAAGAACTTGTTCTACACTTATCCGAATTCTAGCACTTCTATCAAAAAAAATTTGTCCTGCAACTTTCAAAATGACCTTCATATCATATTTCTGTTGACTTACCATATCTCAACGCATGTGAGTGCGTAACAATCTGTTACTTGGAATGTCCCGATTCTCGCTAGTAATCGCGTTCACTGAATGGTAACTTATTGCTAGAGCTCCATGTCTAAAAGCAACCCCTTATTCGCGGATTTTTCACAAATGTCTCCTGGGTCTCATTGTAGTACTCCTTTTCACTATACGGAATTATGAAATCTTACCACCACCCTTAAGAAATCTCAGCACTATTTACGGTATAGTCGAATGACGAAACGTTCGAGTGAATCAGACTCGCAGCCCGAGGGGTCCCTCGAGTCCAAAGCGGTGATTCCTGCGTCGTTGAGCGGCCATCTGTCGGCACGAAATTCACACGGCCAGATGTAATCCATCCAGTGAATCCAAGGATTTTCGCAGCACTTCCATTTTGCAGAGCAAATCCCCCCCCCCCCCCCCTTTCTGCCACCCTACCGTACCCCACTCAGGTGCTACGCCGATAATGTCCGTGCGCACCGCAGAACGAGTCTTTTGACGAGCGAAGCAACGATTCGAATTCGCCTTTGTGATTGATCCATTGATTGAATTTCCAATTTAGCGTCGGCGGACCTTTCATTCGAGGCCATATCAATCAATAAGGTTCGACGAAAAAGTGAATTACTGGCGAATGGGCTTGCACGGCGCGGTTACGGTAGCCCCACACACCTGAGAGATCGTTCGGTGGTTACGCTCTGATGGAATGATATCGTTTCCCATCTGTAAGTGGTCATGAACAGAAATTCGAAGTCGGAGCTGCTGGAGTGGTGGTGGTGGTCGAATTAACTGTGAACGGGAAAAATGCCTACGGGATACTGTAATGCGCTGAATGAGCACATAAACGAATAATTACTTCTTGCAAAAAACACCACAGCAACCTAGTTGTGGAACCGGATCGACGCGCAGCAGCAGAGCAGCCCAATTCGAAGAGAGCATAAATTGCGCGCCGATCACCTGCACTTATGATAAGGCGTGGAATGCAATTTTATGAGAGGGTGAGTAGGATTTTACCGGTTCGAAGCATCTCTGACTTTACGACCTTGTTCATGTTATAAGTTAGGGATGCGTGGTAGTAACGTCTAACCTCACATGCAAAGGACTCACAGTAAAGCGGTTCGGGTATACGGTACTGAGCTTCCTGGAACCCCACAGCTTGTCATTTCAAACTCGAGTTTTGAATCTAGTTATGTTCAAACTTCGAAAAAAAAAACAAGTACATACGTGCTTAGAGAATAGTAAGATTGGCATCGAGATAAAAGATAGTGATTTTTGTAAATAAATTACAGTCAAAGAAAAGTAAACTTCACAACATTACACAGCAATGTAAAAATCCTACAAAACTAGAACTAGCGTTTTTATTGCATTCAAAATTGAACAACATCCACACTGGAAAACGCCTTGCACTAGAAATTTTGTATGAACTACCCCTACTGAGAAAGACGAACGTTTGTTGCGTGGATAGATGGTGGAATACCAACCATTTGTTGTGTTCTAATCAGGGCCCGGCAGAGCTGGCACCGGGCAAAGCTGGATATTGTTTTTGGCACAAAAAGTGAAGGAAATACTGTTTTGCGGGCGAAAACACATAAAAATTGCGACGTTTTAGTCGACGTTTCGCTTTTTAAGGTTTTTACGTTTAGGGTTTAGGGTCAAAGGGGACTTCGCACGAGATTATTTTCAAGGTCAAAGGGGATTTCATTTTAAAACTTTCCAGGTGCCATAGTGCCGATTCCTTTTATTGATTCAAAGTATTTTTCAAATGAACTCTCCCATAGTTTTAAAAATCTATGCCCTCTTTTGAACTATAAATTATTTCTGTTTTGTTTATTTTATTTTGGCTTCTACTCAGCTATAGGTTAAATGATGATTAGATTTGAATTCGCGACAAAATGTATGGCTGGTATCATTTCATTTTAGGCCACTCATTCAAATTATTAAAACTGGGCATCAATTTTTTGGGGGAAACACATGCACCCACGGGTTTTAATTGATTCACAGAGCGTATTACTCTAAGAAGGGAATGTTTGATGCGTTTTTTGCGTGCGATAATTTTTAACTGAATAACATCTCTCAATTTTGTTATGATTACATAAGTATTAGCTAGTGAAGCTTTTGATAAAGGCAGATTTTGCGGTCCATGGATTAACCTCATTGAGTAGATTTCGTTTGCCGTGGCCCTGAAAATTTTCGTTTACCACTATGAAAAGTTTCAAATGGGGTGCAGCTAAAATGGTAGTTGAGGAAACTGTACAAAGTATTATAGTGTCCGTGCGCAAACAACGCTTAGAATTTAGGTTGAGGCCGAGTTAGTAAGAGGTTTGGTTATGTATCGGACAAAAGCGTATATTGATGTAGAGGTCAGATATAAGTCGCTGTGAATAAAAGTTGAAACAAAGGTGCGTTGATATATGGGAAACAACAGTATTATGGAGCATATTGTGCAATTGCACAAATCCATCTTGTCTTTCTAGTTTTTATGTGCTCACTCAGGGCATAATTTACATGAGTATTTTTTGTAAGTATGAAACTTCCTCAGCTATCACAACCATCCTATCATCTCTTCACAGTCTTTCGCTTCCTTTTTCTCTTCTGACTTCTTTATGGAAATTTCTGAGTGTCCTCTCTGCTCGTTACAGCCCTTCGAAGTGCCGTGGCTGTAAGAACGGCAGTAATTGTTACCGTATGCGGCAAGGCGCGACCCCACATTGTAAATCGGCTACTTATGCTAATCACCAGGCCAACTCGCTGCACGCTTACAACCACTTTGAATTAATATATAACGCCAGAGAGCCAGATAACGACTCTGGGGACGAACAATACACTGGAGCTGAGCTGGGTCAGAAGAACGGGCGAAGTTCACAATGGGGCAGCTTTTGTCCCGATCAAAAAGTGCAGTGTTATGGAGCTCGTCATACTTGCTCAATAAGAACAGAGGAGCTGAAGTGCAGCCAAGCATATTGCGATCCTAATGTGGAAACTTAAGAAAGTGTTTAGAAATAAAAACTGACCAGATTTATTTCTGTCGTAAACGAATTCTAAGCTAGATCGTCGAAGCAGGATGCAATACACCATTTAACATAACAAGCAATTTTTGATCGGTTTGACCACCACTCAACTGTTGAAGACAGCGGCGGAGAATAATCAGATTTTTTGAACATCAGAAGGTAGTTCTTGATAGATAGATAGAAAAACATACTACAAAATTTGCGCCACACTACAAGGGCATACATCTTTTGCCCAGCGTACCTCATGTTCTTGCTCCGTGCTTCTTACGGGTTTATGGTGTGCACTATATGCTGTGAAATAGCCAAGTTTCGCTTTCATCCTTTCCTAAAGTGCAAAAAATAGCGGTTGAGAGGAACTCAACTGGACTCAGTCCTACAAAAAGCGATAAAAATCATGCGTTTTGTGTTTTGTTCAAAATCTCAAAAGATAATGAAGCCGAAAAATAAAGATACTTAGTCAGAAGATTCATTCATGCCACACCTGTTATGCTTTTTTTGGGGTTGAGTTAGATAAAAAACGTGGTTTTGGTGATGATAACTGCAAATGCATGCCTAAAGTGTTGAATAAAAACCTCTCATACAAAGCCATTCACTTTTCCCATTCCTACAACAATTTCGTCAGCTTCATTTTTTGATAAATTTTTTCTCAGAGTTATTTCTTCACCCGTAGGTGTTTCAGGCGGATGTTCCCTACCGTAAAAGTGTCCATATCAAACATAGACGTCGATGGTCTCTACTACATATTTCTAGACGTCATTCCAGTTGATAATAAAAGGTTAGCCAATGTTTATATGAGTTTGATTTGAAGATATAGATGAGAATATGTAACTATTAGGTTGTCCCATAAGTCTTTTAGTATTCGGACCTTCAATTCAATATTTCTCAAGAACTAGAGCACCTAGAAGGCTGCAAATTTGTGGCAGTAATTCTGAGTTAATACGCTATATAAATACCTATTTGCGGGAAACACAGAACTGATACAGGCAAAGTTTGAAAATTGAGCGCATTATTTTTTTCTCGGTTTCTAGCCGTCAGAAAAATGCAGCAAGGGCATGTATAAATATCCGATGAGGAGGGTATATGCATGAGAAAGCAGGAAATTTGCAGAGTTGTTTTGAACTGAGATATGATGATTTTCGTTTTTTCGAAAAATTGGAAATTTTTCTATTTTGGCTCGGAACTCGTTGCAGATTGAAATTGTTGCGAACTTTTGAACGCCTTCTTGTAGAGCTTGCTTTGATCTTTCGAACGGTATCCTGCACATTATTAGGAGTTCAAGAAGAACTGATTTATGTCGTTGAAAAGTCAGGTATGAAAAGACTCATGGGACAACCTAATAGTTTAAAGAAAAGTGAAAACAATGGGACGAAGATTTGTGACTACAGACTCCTATAGGCCAGGTTTTCGTCGTAATTATCCTTGCTAAGGAATCTCTAATCGAGGGCTTCTGAGAAAGGATTAAGGGAAAAGGAATGGGATGCTGCATTGTAGGAGTAAAAAGTATAATCTTTTCAGATATCGCTACATTTACAACAAATCAGCATGGTTAACGGCTGGAAAAGCCGAACCAGCACCAAAAAATCGTTTATACTTGCATCCGGATTCACCATATACGGGTGAACAGGTAAGAAATTTAATAAATGTAACTTTCATTTGATCTTCAGCTGGGCGCCCTTTTTACTCCTCGTCTTATCGACTTTTCTATTAGGTTGGCACGAAAGTTCTTGCGTAATTCAAACAAAATTCAATAACTTTTCAGAAACTCAACCTAAATTTACAATCTTGTATGCTAAAAATATTAGAAGTCTTAGGCTTCATGATGGATGTTTAAGCATAAGATTCCGTAAGCTGGACATCAAGAACGAAGCTCTCGAATATGGGGCTTCAAATTTTGCGATTTTGAGTTTGGTGCCAGAAAATCGCAGAGTGCCGCTAGCTAGACGAAAAAAAATCTGTAGAATTTACTTACACAACAAAAGTCCATATGTTACATTGGAAGGCTTTGATCTTGCATGGTGAAGCAAAACAAAAAAATTCGTGAAATAAGTCATTTTGCGGAAAAATCCCCTCAAGTCCGCAGTTTTCCGGCGAAAACACTTTTTTACAGCCGAGAAAACGTCGCAAGGCTCTAAATAGGCACTATGTCTAATTTCTGGTTGCAAACTGTGTTTCTGTGGAAAAGTTAGAGTGATAAGGGGATTTGTCCTGTGAAATGAGAATTTTCACAAATTTTTTGTTTTCGCGTTTCCATGCGAGATCAAAGCCTGCTAAAACAACGTATGGACTTTTGCTGTGTAAGTAAATTCTACAGATTTTTTTCGGCTAGCTAGCGGCACTCTGCGATTTTCTGGCACCAAACTCAAAATCGCAAAATTCGAAGCCCCATATTCGAGAGCTTCGTTCTTGATGTCCAGCTCACGTAATCTTATGCTTAAACATCCATCATGAAGCGAAAGACTTCTAATATTTTTAGCATACAAGATTGTGAATTTAGGTTCAGTCTTTGAAAAGTTATTGAATTTTGTTTGAATTACGCAAGAACTTTCGTGCCAACCTAATATTTACAGTTATTGAAACAAGTGGTATCCTTCGAAAAGGCAAAACTTACCAATAATGAGATAGACAAAGCTGGCCATGTAAGTTTTTGTTTCCTTCAGCGCATTCATTTCTTATGCAATACGAATTTAGTTAATTCTAAACTCTATGCACAAATATCAGCCCAGGATTCATGTTGTAAGACGTAATAAGGGACAACATTTGGATCAAAATAAGGTGAGTATTTGAGTTTCTTGTGACCGTGTTGTCATAACTTTAATTTGGAATTTTCTCAGGTCAACCTAGCTGATGAAGTTCATCGGACATTTGTTTTTCCAGAAACTCAATTCATGGCTGTGACAGCATATCAGAATCAGTTGGTGGGTTTTTAAGTTAGTGTTTCTTAATTGAAACATAGCCTCCAAGTGTGCTCTGTTTCTTTCATGAAACAACAAACGGATATCTTACTTATTAAAACAGTATAACTACACTTATCCTCAGCCAATTTTTTGACGGCCATCCAAGTTTACCAGTCTTTCAATCATTGGAGGAGAACTTTTTGAGCATAGCACGTTATAGCCCTCAGAACAGATGTTGAGATGACTAGTGAAATAGGAGTTATCAAATTTCTTTAGATTATTTTTCCGCCCGTGGCTATTGTCGATAGTCTATTTGTGAAACAAATATATAGCGTATTCATAACTCCTGGATTGATTCTCATCCTGTAAAACCTGACTCAAAACATTGTGCACTGCCAGAGCTCCCAATTTTCCTTCTTAACTGAAAACACATTAATTTCATATCTTACTCTTGGTACCTGCATTGAGTAATAAATACTATAACATCTATCCGGTAACGCTTACGAAACTATTTCAAATCTGTTTCAAAACTTAACATTCTAGCTACATTCAATGCTCGCCAAAGTTTTATAAAGCTACAGAACTTCGCTTGTTATATGACCCTATACTTTCTATCCTGTGCTGACTAATTTTCACTTTTGTTTAGATAACCAAATTGAAAATCGAGAAGAATCCATTTGCCAAAGGCTTCCGTGATCCAAGTGGGAGGTCTCCTGAGTATGAACCGTGAGTCGTTGTGATTTGATGCATATTCAGATGATAATATTGTGCTTTAAGAGATTCAAGGCCAGATCTACCTCTGATAATGCCCATGTACAATCCGATGATATTCCAGCAAGCTCTTCTTAGCCAATGTAAGACTTATAAGATCTAAATTTATTATCTATTGCTTGCCACAAAGCTAGCAGAGCTTGTTCATTATCCTTGTAGTATGGCATGAATACCAACCAATACCGATCATTTCCGTTCCGGAAATAGCTTGATATAGAAAAGATAATGAATTTGCTGTGAGCTTAGACTTTAGCTTGAATGCTAATTCTAAAGCTCTCTTATTCGGATTATGAAATTTCGTTTTTCTCAACAAAGCCATTGCACAGGATCTCTAAGCCATTCATATTGAACCAACTGTTCATAGTCTGTATGAATCGTCTGGGAACAAATCTAATTTGACATCCGAACTAGATATGGAGCAAGCAGAATCGTGCTCCGGATCAACTATTTCTTAACAGTATTTTTATATTTTGAAGATTCATCTTATGCTCAAAAAAGCTAATTAATCAACAATTGGTGTGTTCTATGCTGTAGGTTGTTGAAATCATTGTGGTTTCATGATCAATATTGACAAGGGAACAACTCGTAATTTTTTATTGGAACATTCTATAGGAGAGTGCAGAACCAGAAGCCGAAATCTATAGAGATTACGTTCTCCTTCGTAATTAGACTCTATGACTGAAAATTTCTATTCGCAGCTCAATTTCGACCCAAACCAGATGAAATACAAAAAGTGATAATATTTCAACTTTCAGATTACCTCAAAGCAGCCGCTGCTAGGGTGATGCCATCGTTGAATCCGTCGGTGCTCTCACATGTTCTACTCTCCCAACTCCCTCCGGTGCCGAACTCATCGGACATCCCCCTGGCGAACATCAACCACTCACCTGCCAAATCGGAGAGCTTACCCATCTAGCCCCTAGTTCATTACCCTGTACAGTCCATATCTCCCTTATATCCATGTCACCTTATCATTCTTCATAATCAGAGCATTCCAATGTCTGTCTCTCTCTCTTCTACTCGGTGCCAATTCACATTCGCATTTGTGTCGCTTTCATAGTCGTTACTGTATTGTTCATTAGCTCTATGACTTTCTCGTTCTCCACTCTATGAACCGGTCCCATCTATTGTTTCTTCTTGTCGCCTCGGTGCAATGGAATCAGTAAATTTACGACAGTCTTGTTCGTGCTTTTTCTTTCGTTGCGGGAGTAGATCGACCTTGACAAAGAAGTGTTATTTTGATGGTCTTATCATCTCCGAGGAGGTTACGGAATGCGCAACCGAAGTACCGACAACATTGCAGACTTCGCCATTGTCCTACGAATTATAACGATAGAAGTTTTTTGTTCTTGTTCAAAATTGATGTTAGAGGCGCCAATCACAGGTTCTAAAATAACACAAGTTTCCCCAAAATTTCATTCCCCTATGTTCATTGAATCAAATTTTACATCAGTACAAAAATCCGCACTCAGCCAGGACCATCCACCAGCTACAGTCCACTGTATTTTTCATGATTCCTCTTTTCATCATTTCTATCCCAAGTGAATGAAGGCTCAAACCCAAAAGTTAGCCGACCGTTCGCGGAAGATTCACGACAGAAGCGGGCAAGTACTTGCATCTACTCAAAGGATGAACGATTTCGAAGGACAGGTTGATTTATAATCCCGCAAAAGGCAGGAACTGTAACTTTTGTGCCGTGTTACTCGGATACCTCTGACTGAATGCGCGCGTGTCCCTTATACCTTATCTTATCGACTCTCACCTCCTTACACTTCAACTGTATTTTTAGATAGTAACAGTCTCCAGATGGCCTAGCCTTGAAGAGCCTTCATGAAGACGCAGTATGTCCGTCACACAAATCCAAGGATTGCAGAAAATGATAGTCGGAACGGAACTAACTTTTAAAGCAAGATAGCCAAAGATTCGAGATCCATCACCAATTGTGAACAAGCTGAAACGTAACTCTTATTTAAGTGCTACTATAAGATCACGCGACAAGAAATAAACTCTGTTGGAGAAAGCCTTGTAGCGACGGAGATGGCTGCAAATTGGCGATCAATACATGCGTTTGAGTATTTAGCTATGTTTGAGAATCGTATACTTAGGATGAGGGTTTGCAAATTTTCTCAAAGTCAACTGGAACAGCACTAGCTGAATGTCAATTGGGTTAACACCAACTCTTTGTTCACTAAAATTTTCAACTTTTTCACTATGAGTCTGATCTGTACGTCAAAGGCCTATTGCAGTGTGAAATTTTCTAAAATTATTCTTGTCTGCCTTTTTTGAATCCAAGAATTTTCCAACAGTTGCGCCTTCGAAATGCAGTTCTCTAGAAGCTGTCATCATCCCCAAGTCATTGTCATGATCATCCTCAATGTAAAACTTGAACAAAGCATCCACCCTTTTTATAATATTAGGTTGGCACATAAGTTTTGCAACTTTTCCCGTAACTTTTTTCCTATTTCATGTAGCAATCTCATTTTGTGGCATCATGTAGATCGTGATGTAAGCTGCAAGTCTGCGCAAACCGTTTGATTTTTGTTAACGTAGTACAAAAAATCTAAGCATTTTTTGAAAACTGCTGAAAATCGAGGTTTCACGATTTTTTGGCAAACATGAAGCCCTACGAAACCTGATTCAAACATATGAAAAAGCAATTATAGGCAGCATGTAGCTGGAAGTTGGCGCATTGGAATCAGTGAGAAAGAAATGAAATTTAAACACAAATTAAGGTGGGGCGCCTTTGAGAAGTTGAACAAGTCCAATGCGTCAAGTTTTGAAGGCAATTTGTCAATAACTAAGCTGCGAAAAGTCAGAATTCGCTATAACTTTGCACTGTAGGGTAATCCTATGCGGTAAACACGAATATCATATTCATTTGTCGCTAAAATGAAATTCATCTTTTGATCTCACGAACGAGGCCTTCATGCGAAACGGATCTCATTTTTGTGATCAGCATGTCAAATAAGCCCTATAGGCCAAGTTTCAGCAAAATCTGATGCATTCTAAAATTTTTCCCATAGTACCGTAAACCTACCGTAATCCTCACATAAGATGGTAAAATTCGGCAAAAATGTGGTGCATTAGAAGCTTACATCATAGTCCTTATATTGCCAAAAAATGAATGCGCTACGTTCAAATAGACAAAAGTTATATAAAAAGTTGCATTACTTATGTTCCAACCTAATATATCGAAGCTTCAGAAAGCCACCTCGTGCCAATCCCTGACTGAGACACTTCGTTTAAATGATTCTGACTTGGAAAGGATTTCATATCCTAGATAGGGGATTTCCTAGATACGCGGTCCTGAGCGGTCGTGTTCTCATCACTCTCTCACTCACCTCCTTTTTTCTACCTTCTTGTCCTTTTTTACCAATTCTTTTGCTTCCATCGATTTTGAAGCCTTCATTTCCTCGAACACAATTTCATCCCCCCGTTTCATTTATCATTTCATATCTTGACCGCTCCTCCTTCTTCCTTGTCTTTTCTTTTTCTCATCCTTCAATCGATAGTTCAACATGCCGGCTCGCGGGAGTAGATCAAGTACTCAACCTTCTGCCTCACGTATCACTAGGAAAAATGCTGTTAGTAGTAGTCTTTCTCAACCGGCAGTTCTGGAGGATAGAAACGAAAAAAAGGAGGATGATTTCGCTAACATGTCCGCCAATGAGATCGTGTCTTCCATTTTGAAATTGAACACCAACCCTCTCATTGAGAAAATGCTTCTCGCTTTGAAAAACAAAATTCCACCAAATGTGGAAACCGAAAAGCGCCAAAGGAGCATCGTTATCGCAGGGTTACAAGAATCCGAAGCCGGTAAACCCCTGCTGGAAAGGAGCGATGAGCTTGAAAAAGGATTGGCTGACATCCTTGACGTTTTAAGTGTGGACTGCTGGCCCACCGAGATTTATCGGATGGGTAAATATGAGGGAACGAGACCACGTCTCGTCAAAGTCGTCTTCCCATCCCGCACTCACTAGGTCCAAGCCCTTTCGAACGTCCACGTTCTGAGACGGTCGGGGTTCCCTAATATTTTCATACGCAAAAGTATGACCCCGTCAGAACGAGCTCAAGAGTTTGAGCTTAGAAAGCAGGCACGAGAAAGAAGTAAGGGCAACCCCGTTAGAGAGTGGGTTGTTTATAAGAGTGAGCTGCGGCACACCTCCGAACTCCCTCACCGACATCTTCCGGAAAACGCCTAAGCCGGCATGGTCTATCAGATCGGGTTCTTCGATGTTTCCTCTTTAACGCCCGTAGTCTAGCTAATAAGATATATTTGTTACACGCATTTTTAGCCTATTATTTTCCGGACCTTTTATGTGTTACTGAAACTTGGTTTAATCTTAAAATCACGGATTCTGAAATCATATCGGATATGCCTTATTTTTCTACCGTATAGACAGGACGCGCAGCAAAGGCGGAGGTGTCTGCATTTTTGTCAAGGAGGAGTATGCGGTGGAGAAAATCACTTTTGCTAATGAGCTTAAATCCGATATTCTTTGTGTTGACATTTGGTCGGCCACCTCCTCAACTCCTCTGAGATTACTTGTCGTCTACCGTCCGCCTTCTTCTAATTCTGATGACGATATCAAATTGGCTGACTCGATATATGATTTATGTTCACTACCTTTTAGCACAATCGTACTAGGCGACTTTAATATTGATATCCTGTCTCCGTCCATCCGTTGCCAATCTCAACTTTACTCTTTTCTTCTCGATTGTGGTCTCCATCAACACGTTGGCTTCCCCACAAGAGGGAAGGCTGCTCTCGATCTGATTTTTTCCTCCAACAGCCAAATCCGAAACTTAAAATCCATAGCTCCTTTTGGAACATCCGATCATAACATCATATATTTTGAAACTGCATTTGACCTTTAAAAAAACTGTTTTGTTCCCTATCCGGATTTCAACAAGGCCGCTTTCTCTGATATCAATAGAGCTCTTCTGTATACTGACTGGTCTCGCATCTTAATTGGTGATACCTTTGATGATCTTCACTATCGTTTCTGTGACGTTGTTTACTCCATTATAGCTAAGTATGTGCCGTTCCGCTTTGATCAAATTCCGATGAAGAAATACCCCGCTCATATTCAAAACCTATTAGAACAAAAGAACAAACTTTCTTCTCATTTACTGTATCTTTTGAGCAATCATTTGCACAGAAAGGTCTGTAGAGACATCAATTATCATGTGAAGAAGTACCTAGCCAACAGAGAAAGGCGAGTTTCCAGATACAATGTCAAAGAGCTCTATCGATATCTCAAGTTCCAAGCTAAAGGCCAACAAAAAATTAATAGCTTGTTGGATGAGCATGGTAATCTGCTTATAAGTGAAAAAAAGAAGGCTGAAGCTCTTGGAAGCTTCGCTGGTTTTTTTGCAAATGAAACTGCAGCCTCTGATCTTCCAACTATCAATTTTTCTTCTAGTTGTCCATCAGTTGCTTGCTCAGATTTGACTATAGACTCAGGAAAAGTTTATGCAATTCTAACAAAGATAAAGCCGAGGAAAAGCTCATCTTATGATGGTATTCCCCAAATACTCTACCGTAAGTGCGCTAGTGCACTCTGTTTCCCTCTCTCCTTGATCTTCAATGCCTCCTTGCAACAGGGCAAAGTGCCTAGAGTCTGGAAGGAGGCCCTAGTCACCGCCATCCCTAAGCGTAACCGAATTACCGACATTTTTAATTTCCGTCCAATTAGCATAACAGCCCCCTCTGGCAAGATTCTCGAGAAGCTTATCAATGACAAGCTTTGTGACTGGTTTGAAAAAAACAAAGTTTTTCCAGTTGAGCAGAACGGGTTTCTGGCAGGGGGTTCCACAACAGCGTCACTTTGTGACTCCGTTCATGACTGGCTTGTTGCAGTGAACAATGGCGAATCAGTTGATGTCATATTTTTTGACCTCTCCAAGGCATTT